GCCGGAGCAGCTGCTTCCTTGCCCTTCAAATTTTATTGCCTTTGTAAATTGTTGTCCTTTGTAAGTGTCATGACAGAACGCGAGCCTACGTCAAAAAAATACGTAGCAATCGCTGACCTCGTGTCATCACCCCTTCGCTGTTGCCGCTGCTGGAAGCGCGTCTTTCATTTACGTACTTCAACATGAGACGTACATAGTTTTTGATTTTTTTCGCATTGACGCACCAAACCTAAAAATCTGAAAAAATTCATGAACAATTCTTGCGGCAATAAGAATCTATCATAAAAATATGGACAGTGTATCCGAACGATTTCTATGTGAACAAAAATATGTTTAGCACCTTCTTATTTTTCACGGTTACATTTTGTAACAAAAAAATCTGAAATAATTCTCAGATGTGTCCAGTTATGCTACGGACGTGTTGGAATTTTTTCAGATGAATAAACAACAAAGAAAAAAAGAGTGGATTGTCTGGGTTTCGAACACACGGAGCCTCGAAGACTCCGAGTCTCGAAGCGTCGAAGATTCCGAGCCTCGAGGAGTGAATTTAGAATTCGCTTGCCTGACAGTCAGCACGCACACACGCACGTACTGCGTCACTCGACACGCGCCCCTTCTTTTAGGAGATGCACGAAGCCGGCCGCGAGATGGAGCGCTTGTAGACGAATACCCTAGGCACGAGCATGGCAAATCTTATGCGTATATTTTCAGCTCTGTACGGCGTATCCACTTTTTGAGGGGAGTAGTGCACAATCCCTCCTAAACTACGTCTATTTCCCCTTAAATAATGGACATTGACACTAGGGTGCGGTAGTGAACTGGTAGTGAGCCGTGTCCACTTTCGAACAAAGAAATGAGCAATCTCCCTTTTCATCTCTGGTCGGACGGGTCGGGCGCCTCTACGTATGGGTAACGTTCATTGATGGTTGGTGATCAACTGTCAACAGATCGTTTAGTAAACCTGTCGACTCTGCTCTAAATACATCAATCTCTGCTGTTACCGGTGCAGAATTTTTGAACATAACCGTGTATACAATCGGTGGATTTAGACAGACTGATGTGCATTTGTTAATGCGTAACCAAAAGCGTACCACCCGGCCGTGTACGAGCGTTATCAGTTTTAAAAAGTTTTCACTTTAATGTGTTGCAATCAATAACAAAAGACTATGGCATCGGGCTTGGAAAGTTACGTGAATCGTATCCTTTGCAATCTAGACTCGACACTGGTTTTTCATTTTCAACGTTCCTTAGCGATTCGTAGACACGGTTTCTATTATTACCTCCGACGGCAGGAACTTTATCGTAAGTCTCTTCTCCTATTCATCTATTCACGTGTCATAACATTACGTTTTTCTCCAGGGTACCCTGAAAGGTTTCGACCAGACGATTAATATAATATTAGACGAGTCTCACGAACGTGTATACAGTACGACGCAGGGCGTAGAACAAGTAGTATTAGGTTTACACATCATCAGAGGCGATAATGTGCAAGTATCTTTTGCGTTTGAATCGACAGTGTTCGTTTATTCATCGACAGTTTTATACATTGTTCGACGCTGACAACGTAAAAAAACTGTTCATTGAACGGCTAATAGCATAATTTCATTGCTCAGTTCTGGAACAGACGACACTGTCGAATATAAAAAATACACGCGCGCGCGCGCGCAATTGTTTCTTAGTGTTAGTACAAGAAAAGTACGAGCAAGGAGATCCATCTCGGGAGATGCAAATGATTTACAGCATCTTCTCGTCTTATTTCTAGGGCTATTGTTGGAGAACTGGACGACGAGATGGATGCAAGATTAGATCTATCAGCCATAAGGGCCGACCCTTTGAGCTCTATCGTACATTAGTGATCGCGATCACGTCATTGCTTGGTAACAATATCAACAGCAGCAACAACAACAACAACCAGATCGACAGTAATGATAATTAAAAAAAACAATCTGTAACGGTGAATATAGTCGATCGAAAATACGATCTCTTACACCCGGTCATTGTATAAACACGTCATTTTTCGTGTCCGTCTTAAAGTATCCGTTTCGCACGAGATTGCTGTAGACATCGACGTTACGAGAGAGAGAGAGAGGAGTGACATAGAAATCTATATTAGAATCAAAGTAATGAAGATGGTACAAAAAATGTTTTACTGTGTGATGGTAAACTTTATTTTTTATAAATGTAATTTTCACCTTTTTATCTCGATAGGTATTGTAATAAAGGAAAATATAGATAACGTAACGCTAAACAACGATCGAACGATTTTTTCGATTTAAACATATATATGTATATATATATGTTTTTTTATAATGTTATTTATTTATTCTGTTTCTAATACGATTCTTCGAAGAGGAAGCATCGTCTTCGTGCACCGAAGATGTTCTTCGAAATCACCGACTGCTGTACATAGGGACAACGGAGACGAAGATTTCATGATCGCTAATCGAATCGCTCAGATTACACGTAGCACGTGGTTCGAAGACTTTTTACATCCGCAAGGAACAATATTCTGATGCAAGTAAAAAAGAAAAAAGAAAGTATGCCCATTGTAAGAGCGATTTCAAAGTACCCTCTGTTACAAAATATTGCATTTTCGTGTACATACTATATTATTTTTCTATTTATTGGTGCTTCGATTTACAGTGACAATTGATAGGCCTCATTTAATCAATCGCTACTCTTCCTCCGTCGCGTCGTATCTTGATCTAATTCACATAATTCACTTGAAACGGGTCCTAGAACCAGACCAGTGATCACGTGCACGTGTATATAAACATACGGTGTTATTTATACATAATCTCCGTTGTATGCATGGAAGACGTAAAGAAAGAAACATAAAAATAAATCGACTGTTGGTTCGTAGTATCTTATGTATTAAATGTCTTTTCGAATGGATAAAAATGATCTCGTCATTATATATACACAAGTTACACGATATCCTTGCCGAAAATTTTCTCTTCCATTATCGCTACTTTAATTAAGACGCATTCCCCATATAGAACATTATTACTGGTGTTATAACTGCGCTTTTTTTTTTTTTTTAAATAAAATATAGAACGTCGCATAATTATGAGCATTGTTCACACCGTTCAGTGGTATATATATATATATATATACGTCGTACAAAGAGATGATTGAGAGTACTTTCGACGTCTCACGTCTCAACAGCTTAAACTAATTATTCGGCTAATTAAACTAGCGAGCATTTGACACCATATACAATTGACACGATCGAAAAACGAGTCTGGACCGCCGGATATAATTAATGCATAATCAACAAGATGCATTCTGTATGTACATATTTAAATTAATGAAAATTATCACCAGGTACTTTGCTCTCGTGTGTACCTACGATATTTGCCTTAATTGTTAGTCGCGATATTGGTCCTATTTCTATTCCGCCGCCTGATTCGGCCACCGCGTCTGTTCGTACCACTCCACTCCACAGGCCCGTCCATTCCAAAGTTTGGATTCGGGTTCGGGTTGAAACCCATCATACCGGGATCCGGAGGACCGGGACCGAAATTGTTAAAGTTACCGCCACCCGAATATACTGGCGGCGGCGGAGCACCGTCGTACGATGGATTAACAGAGTCGGGTGGCCCGAAACCACCCACACCGGGTGGTGCTGGCCCCAATAATCCGGCTCCGTTGTTACGTTGAAAACGTGGATCAAAGTTCATCTGATTCTGTGGCACCACCGGTCCATGGTTCATAGTCATCCCCGGAGGCATGTTCGACATTCCCGTCCCGACGATACCCATCGGCGGTGGTATGTTCTGAGGGCCCATGGGCGCGTTCATCATAGGCCCCATAGGACCCATGTTCCCGAGCATCGGGCCCATAGGCATCATGCCTTGCGGCCCGGGCATGGGACCGGGCATGGGCATCTCCATCGGCGACGGCTGTACGCTCTTCATCATGGAAGCATTTACATTCTGAGAAGCTGATAAATTGGAAGCCTCGAGAGCCTTTCGACGCGGGTCTGCCCGGACTTGTGGGGGCGACTTGGGTGTATCTGGCTTGACCGGGGGCGGGGACATGGGAGAGTCGGCCAATTCCACTTTACCGATCCTGAAGATCTTCCGTAATCGTGGATCGTATTTCACTTGCGCATCGTTCTTGGTCAGTTTGAGACCCGTGTAATCAGGTCTCGGTATATCGACGATGTACACCTTGTACGTCATCGGAGGGTGCGAGGAAATGCTGGCGTCGATCTCGGTGCAGGGTATGTGGGACGGTGCCGGTTTGAAGGGTAAACTCAAAATTTGCCGTAGATCAACGTCGGATTTGGTAGACGCGTCGGCGAATCCCGCTCCAACTACGCGGAGATCAGTGTCTCCAAAACCGGTTTGGAAATGTTGCTGCCTGAAATCCATGTCTTTCCTGCGGAGATCTTGATCGGTTTTTGTTCGAAGATCCGTATCCATATTGGTATCGACGGCAGTGATACCGGAACTATAGATACTCGTTTCCAGCCTGAGATGTTTAGTCTCCTTCTGTCTAACCGGGTCCATCTGGGTCCTACTGGGACTGTCCAATTTCTGTTCGTCTCTGCGTTGTCTAGGATCCCGGGACATACGAGGATCTCTGGACACGGGCGCGGCGGAGCTCGTACCCGGCGACGAACGCGGGCTCGACGTTTCGTTTTCCTTCATCATCATCAGCTGACTCGTCGTAACGTTGAACGTTAACGTCCCCGTTTTGGCATGATTCTTCGATTCGTCCGATGCCGCCGCCGTCCTGTCTGGTGACAACTTGTTCGACGAATAATCCTGCGCGCCGGTATTCTGTTGCTGGCCAGCAGACTTGCTGCTGCTGCTGCTGCTGCTACTCGTCGTCGTCGGCGTCGGCGTCGTCGTCGTCGTCGTCGTCGTCGTCGTCGTTGTCGTCGTCGTACTCTGCGCTTTTAACGTCGACAGCAACTTGGACACCTCGGCGCTTATGTCTATTTTACTCAGATCCCCGAGTTTGTCCACAATAGCTGCTGGTTGCGGTATGCTTGATGCCGTGGTGCATTCTTCGTCGATCGCGACGCTCTGCGCCGTAGACTCCTCTTTCGACGTCTCCTTGTTCGAAAGTACTATCGTAAGATTCCCACTTTCGTCGTCGTCGTCGTCGTCGTCTTCGTCATCGTCTTCGTCGTCCGAGTACCAGTCTTCCAACATTTGATCCGTGTTTCGTGCGGAGCGTTCGTCGTCTATATTCTTGAAACTATCCGGGGCCGCCCGTTGTTGCTGTTGGATACGCATGAACAATTCCTGTGCCCGTTTCGGTAAATGGGTAGGCACCTCTTGTTCCTCCGCAGACGGTGAACGTGCATCGCGACGCCGATTATTGTTACTTTCATCGTTCGTTTCTACAAAAGTGTGTGAAATCGGTATATACATCGCAGAGCCTAAAGTAAAATGATCATTTCATCTGTTTTGGGCAACGTTCTCTTACCCTTGTCCCTTTGCTTGTCCTCGTCTTCGGTCGGCATTTCTATGACGAGCATCTCTTCGTCTTGATCGCTCTCCTCCGGGTCGAATTTGGATTTCGTAAGAGTCGCTACCTTATCAGCGATGACGACCATAGGAGGTGGTCTTTTCACTTTCAACAAGTGTTTCAAATCCGTGATCTTGAAATTCTCTTGCGACGACGTGTCTTTTTTCTTCGCCTGGAATTGACAAAAAAATCAAAATGAAACTGATTGCATTTATCGCCATACTGATCGTACGAACGGTACATACCTGTTCGAGGATTTCGTCTTCCTCGACATCTTTAGTGAAATCTGTTTTATTTTGATTAGCTCTGTTCGACTCCGCCGAGCTGTTGGATTCCGTACAGAAGTCCATGTTTGACAACGGTTGGGGTGCTGGCGGTGGCGGTGGCGGCGGCGGCGGCGGCGGTGGTTTTTTATGCAACTGCTGTTGCGTCGCCAAACCCAGTGCAGCGTTCGGAAGTTGGAGACCGAATTCGTTGGCCGATTGCAAAAGCATGATTTGCTCGTACGGTACTCTATCTTCGTCCGATCCCCATCGAGTTTTCTTACCCGACGGTTTCCTGTCTCTGGCACCGCTCTTCTGCTGTTGTTCGTCTACGCAAGAAACCGACGTCGTCGTCGTATCAACAACCTAGGGAATTGTCTTGAATTAAAAAAAAGATCAGTGTGAATGAGTACCCTTCTCGTCCTTCTCGTTGATTTTCTCCGCAGTGTTAGTTGGCGCGGATACGTTCAACTCGAAAAGACTCGGAATCTTCTGATTCGTAACCTCCTGGCCCTGCGCCAATGTCCTCGCCGTATTGTTTATCATTAACATTGCTCCCTCTCTGCTCAACCGCGGGAAATCTCCAAGAATCTCTTTGGGCGCGGTTTCCAAATGTTTCAACAGTATCCCCTTTACCTGAATCGATGTCATGATTTCATTCATTCGTCATAAGCTCGACGATCGATCGATCGATCGGTCCAAGAACGTAACAACAACAACAACAACAACAACAAGTACCTGTTCGCTCAGAGGTTGATGGGAAAATTTACAATTGTCTCCCTGGTTACACTTTAGACCTGTATGGAAAAACTTGCACGGAAAGTCGTGGTGCATGTAGAGACACTTGTCCCTCTTCGCGCAACAGTCCATGAGATAAAATTTACAGAGCTCCATCTTTCTGGGCGGTAAAGCGTTGTGCGAGAACGGGCAATCGTCTCCTCTGTGACACTTGCCTTGCATGTAATAGACGCATATAGCGTCTGGCTCTTGACCGTGATCGTTGCTCTGATTTCTACGTCCATTCCTATCGTTTCGCATTTGCCCGCGGGTCTTATTTTTACCACCTCGTTCATTTTTACCACCCCTACGTCCTGCATGGGTGAAAGTATACATTATAATCGGCGTATTGTACGGATAAACACGTGTCGTACAAGTTGCGTACCTCCTCCTCCCGTTCCCCCGCCACCGGCGCCGCTACCACCGCCTCCACTTCCACCGCCGCCGCCGCCGCCGCCACCTCCGCCTCCTCCTCCTCCTCCACCACCCCTGGTATTGCTACGTTTACCATCATTGTCTCTATGACGATTTACGCTAGGCCTATCGTCATAATCTGAACCGCTGTCAAAGTTCTCATGCTCGTTCGTATGCCTTGGCGGCGGCGAACTGCTCTCCATCTGCATATCTTTTCTAACAGGCGAAGCACCCCGGACAAACAGCATCTCGTCCTCGTCGTCATTCACATTTTCATCGTCGCTCACTTTTCTCCTCTATAATTACATACATACATTTATCAATAAATTTACTAAATCGAAACAACATCGCTGCTAACAACTACTGATCTCGATATAATGATGATCGTAAAACCTTTTGATCCTTGTTGCGATCTTCCTCGTCCCCTCGTATCCTTTTCCTACTTTTACTTCGATTATTCTTACTCTTAGATTTGGAATCTTGATTTCTAGAACCGTCTCCCTCTAAGGCTGCCCTGATCGCTTTCTCGACATCTCCTGCCCAATCATCCGTAGGGTTTTTGTACTTTGAGAACCTGTCGTGCTTGCTACCCCCTTGAACGTTCGACTTTTTATTCTTATTAAACTTGTTGGGGTCGAAGTTTTTATTCTTTGACGCGTCAGTTTTCGATTCAGTCTTTTTAACATCATCGTTTACTGACTGTGGAACGGGCTCGTCGTCTTCGTCGGATGGAATTTCTCCATCCTCCAAGTCGTTATCATTATTACTACACATGCATTAAAAAAAAAACAACAACATTTTATTAATTACTGATGCACAGGACGTTTCATAAATTTCGTGTAGGTTACTGTATTTCTGTATAAATTCGTGATACTTTGCGAAATTAATGTCTGTAACGATGACAAATGTTTTATCCGAGCTTTTCCTATCCAGTTACAAAATCACCTAGAACGCATTCTTTTAATTTGCAAATCTTTGTTCGAAACAACTCTACCCTGACTCGGGAAATTATCAACATCATTTTAAACAGTGCATTTCGCATTATTCAAGAATGCACATTTCTTCGTCCGTCTGTTCCGCTCGGTTGCAAAAATTGAAAACGCATATTGATTTCACCTTGGAATCATCATCATCATCATCATCATCATCATCATTATCATCATCGTCATCGTCATCATCATCATCATCGTCAATTGTAAATAATTAAGGAAGAAACGCGAAACGCATTTCTTCGTTAATATAACAGAGGAAGATGTTGCCTTGAAGAAAGATTGGGGTCGCGGACATTGTCAGCAATGGTCATTTAAAATACATCGTAGGTTCGCTGAATGAAAAAGGAACATCGAATTTTGGTCGAGCAGAGTACAGCTGAAAGGGGAGAGAGAGAGCAGCTTCCGCTACTAGTCGACCTGAAAGCATTAGGTCGTCTTTTCGACTGCTAACGATGATACCACGGTGGAGCACAGGCATCGATCGATGCAACTTCTCGTGTATATAGCCAACCTGATATGTACGGTGTGTGGAATATAATCAATCGTCTTTGAGTGTCCTACGTCACCACCACCGCTACATGATGATTCGAACGACACATGTATACACATGGTATATACACATGTCAAAGAAACAATGTACACAACGCGACGTGCGTTACGTTGGATCGCACAATCAGAAAAGCACAGAAATACGATATAGATGGAGAAAAACCCATGAAACGAAGAAGCGTAGTATATAACCATTCCCAGAATTAAAATGATGATAGAAATGTATAAATAGAGACAGTATTTGGCAAATCGCAGGCGCTAAGAGTTGCTAAAATTAGCACAGTAACGAAAGAATAATCATCCGCATATATATATATACACACGCGCGCGCGCGCGCGCACACACACATATATATATATACACGTACATCGTCGTAGGAAGAAATAATAAATTGAATTGTCCTTACCCACGAATCGCGTTCATTATTAGCATCGATTAACATCGTCATCAACTATCATAATTCATCATCGTCGATACGATAGCATGAACATGAATAGATTATAACGTCACATCATTTTTGCGGCATATCTCATTGTCATCGTTACAGGCATTGCCGGTTAGTATGTATCAAATGTATTCCCCGGTAGCGTGAAAATTTCTTCGCGTGTAGACCCGTCACGTGCATACGTATCGTCGAAGCTATGTGTAGGCCAACTGTGCCTGTAAATGGTCCGTGTGTGTGTGTGTGTGTGTGTGTGTACGTCCGTGGTTCAAAACCAGAAAATGTTTAAATGTATCAAGCATGTCTTTCCATCTCCGAAGATCTCGTGCGTACACCTTTTTTACATAAATATCTAGTAATCTGTTCTCGGAATAAATTTCTATCGTTTCCCGATGCTCTTCAATGCTCTTGAAAGTATCGACGTCATAGCTATGATTAAACATGATAGCATTCGAGGTATCCACAGACATTGTCGGACTGACTGTTTGCTAAAACGTCTGAATTTCGGATCGTATGACAAACTACCGTTATTCATGGTCCCTTACGTAGCTGGTATTCTTAAATGTCTCGAATTTATTTTGTCCGATGCGAAGCTGTGAACGATGAGAACGTCGTTAGCTTGAATTTCAGAGCAATGAAGAATCGTGGAAACACGCGCGCGCGGTAGCCAAACGGCGTATTATAATAATGGGTACATTTTTTCTCACAGTGCCAATGGTGTTACGACCGGACGAAAAGCGGGGCGGGCGAGCTTTCGGAGAGGGGATCGACGTGTATGAACGTGAGTGAGTGGTAGTAGTAGTAACAGTCTGATTAAAATTTCGACCGTTTTGTTTGTCGGTGAATAAAAAATGTGGAGGCAAACCTTTGGATTAGAGTCTCGGCCACGGAAACACTCTCTAATGCCATTGTTTTGTCCCGATCGATCGTGTTTTGTACCGTATGATATAGCACTGTGGCCCGCCGCCGACGATGATCATTCGATCGATTGACGCGACCACACTCGACGACGGCTCTTTGCCTGCGAAATGATCGCGTGCCTGAATTCTAGCATTTGAAAATTTTTGAAATTACTTTGCTTATTTCTTTTTCTGTTTGTTCGACACACGAATTAGCCTACAGAATGTATCTCGTTCGTCTCTCTCCGTTTCTCTTTCTCTCCTTCTGGAACGCATGCGCGCTTCAACAACCGAACGATACCCGTTTTTTATTTAACAATTTTCTGCCTTTTTTTTCCTCTCCTCTCCGGCCTCCCGTTACGCCCCTGTACTTTTTTCTCTCTCTCTCTCTCTCTCTCTCTCTCTCTCTCGAATATTCTTCACGCCTGAGACGGCTCTTTGTTCTCGGTAAACTAAAGTTTCCCTTAAATTCTCTTTCTGGCTCTTATCCGGGATCCTATTATTTGCACTTTAGTACTCGGTGAAGTATGGATTGTTTCACTGTGTGTCCGCCTCTCCTCCCGTTGGCTATTAAATTTCGTTAAATGGCGCGATTTTACCACTGCAACGTCATTCTGGCTCGACGACGTGGCATATGGCTGACCGACGACGACAAGAGTTCGTGTAGGCGTTTCAGCGTTCTCTCTCTCTCTGTGTGTGTGTTACTCTCGTACGGCCGTGATGCATCGAATGAAACGCGAGAAACAGGAGCGGTGGTTCTCGAAAAGGAGATACGTGTCTCTCTGCTGCTGCGACCCGAGACGAAAGGGAGAGATTTCTTCCAAAAATAAAACCCGAAACCTCCCGTAGAGCGCGTGCTGCATGAAATGCGTAGAGCTTCCTTCCACTTTGACGATTCCCGCGTACCGTGTGTAATTATTATCTCGGCAACGGCGGCGCCCCTTTTTTCGCTCGGTTCAAAAATTATTGGCAGAGAGAGAGAGAGAAAGGGAGCAAAACGTTTCGCTGTGTGCCCGTATATGCGAAACAACTGCGAGTCGCGTCTGGCGATTGAAATTTCTGACCGACAAAAAAAGTAATCAAGTCAAATGCACGGCCTCGACGCGGATTCGTGTCTCTCCTGGGTAGACGACAGCGTCTCGTACTTCCGCGTTATCAAAGAGATTTATCTCGGCAAAAGAAGAACATGTGTATTATGAACGCGAGACTGAGTCGGCCAGGCAGGCGACGAAGAGTACGATCGGTCGGACAGAGCGTAATTACAATGTCGGCAGATTTGTATAAAAATGTATCAGTTATATGAGACGATGAGCGAAAACTTCAAAGATCAAACTAAACATGGCCACATCTGGAACTATTCTGAGCGGGTAGCTGCACGAAACCTCGGAAGAAGGGCGAGCCAACGGTATACACCCGTGACAGAGGAGGGAAAGCAGACGCTGATCCCTGTTCACCAATCCGGAGCCGTGCTCAACGATCACGTGCCCTTGCCTTACGTCCATAATTTCCGTTCCCCCACTACGAACTTCCTCTCATCCCCGTCGCCGCCGCCGCAACCGCCGCTCCTCTCTATGTGGAGCAAATTCCTCAAGTCGACCCTTATACTTTTCGATGCAGCGACTGCGAACGAAAGCGATCTATTGCTCGCACTAAAAACATCGCCCCCCCCACCCCCTCCTTACGCTCTGTGCGCACATCTATTCAGCACGTATCCCGCGCGCGAGTGTTTGTAGAAGATGTTTCACAAACCCCGTCAGGCCAACACACAGAAGGCGAGAAAACTTTCGTATCGTAATCGTGGATATCAATAGACATGTACTTGAGAAGAAAACTTTATTTTACAGTACTCGACTTGTGAAAATTTATATCACTTGTAAAAATTATCCCGTACGATCAAACTGCGGGACACTGCTCTCCCCTCGACTGCTGTTGTTGTCCGTCTTGACTTGCTCGTGCGAACGATGATGGAACACGAATGAAATTCCACTGGACCAGCAGTGTCGCAACGGTATATCCGGCAAATTTCGCGGATTATGAGCGTGTCTCCAATCTGACAAATCTGAATTGCAGTCCGATTGCTCGGACGGTCCTTTGACTTCTCCACCGTTCACGCACCTTCTACATTTGAATCTGAGATGCGGGAAAAAATACGATTTACAACAAATTCACACACGCTTCCTACGCGATTATTCGCGATCGCTGCCGAATTATATGTCGTGCTTACTTGGCATGAGTATCCGATACGGTGTTCTCCTCTAATTTAAACAAATCTCGCAAATCGTTCAACGTAAAATGTCTAGCAACGTCCTCTTCCTGATCCACTACCGTCGAACTCAATGCTTTTTTATGCGCCTGCCGTTGGAAAATCTTCTCCTCGATAGTACCAGTCTGTAACGTGTCGCGAAACAAGAGAAGATAGAAAGAGCTCGAAGCTGCTGCAGCAGCAGCAGCAGCAACGAACGGGAGTGTCACTACGTACGGAAAGGAAACGATATACGAAACACGGCTTCTTTTGACCGTCTCTCCACACTCTGGCCATAGCCTGATCGTCGTTCGCGGGGTTCCAATCGGGATCGAACATAACGAGACGATTCGCGCCGATGAGATTCAATCCGCAGCCGCCGGCTTTAGAGCTGAGCATGAAAATGAAATCGTTGCTGGTCGGATCGTTAAATTTGTCCACCACTTTCGATCTCTTTTTAATGGTCATACTGCCGTCTAGTCTGACGTAGTTGTAGCAACGTTTCTGACACAACTTTTCGAACAGGTCCAGGGTTTGCGTATAATTAGACACCAACACAATCTTGTCGGTCGTCGTCGTTTTGATGGACGCCAGAAGACAATCCAGTACCATTACTTTGCCCGACAGTTCTGGTAGAATCTCTCTGAAACGATTCAATGACATCACAGAGAAAAGATAATCATCACTCACATACGTACCTGGTGTTATAATTTGGTGGCAAGAGCTCGGCAGCCTTCTCAAATCCTTCGGATTTTTCCATTATTTTGTCGTACACCAAGTCGGGGTGGTTACACAATTTTTTCAAAAGCGTAATCGCCGACAGTGCGGAGAGAGTCTTTCCTCTCTTTGTATTTTCCGAATTATCTGCAACGAGAGACGAGCGATCGTATCGTCCGACAAATCCAATCACGAAATCTTACATACCTGACAACATTGACTTTCTAACGCTATCGCTTTGTATGAAATTTTTATAAAGATCCGTTTGCAACTTGGTCATTTTTATGCAAACGACTAGTTCGTGTTTCAACGGTAGATACTTTGAGAGCAAGGCACTGGTACGTCTGATGAGGCACTTGTTCACTACGGTCACCAATTCTGACAAACGTTCTTGAGCGATTTTTCGCTCGTCGTCCGTAGCGGAGGCGTCTTGACCGCGTAAGATTGGTATCTCAAATTTTTTTCGAAATTCCTACGAAACAGTCCGCTTTGAGAGTCAGCTGCGATCGTTCAGCTTGCGATTCCTACTACGGAACTACACTCGGTACCTGCGCGGTTCCCAACAAACCCTGGTTAACGAAATGTACGAGAGAGAAATATTCCAACAGATCGTTCTGTATAGGCGTCCCGCTGAGCAATACTCTTCTCTTGGCTTTTAAGTTGATGAGCGCCTGGTACGTTTGATTTTCAGAATTCTTCAAACGATGTCCCTCGTCGCACAACACGAGCCCCACGTCGTCTTGATGAAGTACGTGCGCGTGTAACCGAAACGTTTCGTAACTTATTATTAAAACAGGATTCACGCACCTGCGACCATAGGTCTTCATGAATCCGGTGAGCTTCCTGTCTATGTCCGCCTTGTTGCCACCGTCGATGGCCAGCGGCTGAACTTTGTTGTTCAACCACTTGAAAATTTCGTTTTGCCAATTTTTCACTAACGAACTCGGAGCAACGATGATTGCTTTGTCAATCAGTGGTTTCGCCTCCGGGCCTTCGAAATAGAATCGACCGATTTCGTACACGACATAAAAAACGACGGCGACGACGACGATTACCTTGTTTCAACAGAGTCCAGAGCAAAGTTATACACTGGAGAGTCTTTCCGAGACCCATTTCATCCGCCATGATGCATCCGTACGCATTCTCTATGCGTTTTCCCGTTACACATTCGTACATAAACATTACACCCTCTCTTTGGTGAGGCCTTAAAATATTGCACAACAAAGGATCTACCACTACGTGTACGAGCAGCTTGGATCTAAAATCATCACTGTCGTCAGCACATCGAAAAAAATTCAGATCTATTTCTACGCACGGATCTAGCTTCAATTTTTCATGTTCAGACATCTCGGGAGGCGAGTAAACTACGAGGGCGTTAGCCTCGTCAGGATCGTGTAAGGCTCTCCTAGGACCAGACAAACGTATTCCTAACGTACGCCCCGACAGCTGATATCCAGGGATCGGTATTTTAAACGGTCTGCTCAACAGCTTTTTCACCCTCTCTTCCTACAACGAATCGTAAATCGTTGACCAACATTCGATCATTGAACATGTATATAATAATACTTACATGCTCTGAAATAACTTGTTGCGTCGCTTGTACACCATCGGCCGAAAGAACGACCGCTTTGCACTCTGGTATTCGTACATCCATCGTGTTACGACCGCAAGCCCTTTTAACCGTTTGACGAACTGGTGGTTCGATATCTTTCGCTGCTACATTGTTGGACATTAGATCGGGAAAAAGTGGCCGTTTGCCTCTTTGACTAGGAGCCAAAGATCGAATCTTGCATAAAAAAAATCAAACTTTTCATTCCATACCATGTTGATAAATCATAGAACGGTACACGAATCAACGGTATGATGGTAAAATAAAGTATTACCATTCTGAACTTTCGCGGTTATTGGCGGTTATACATACAAGCACAGAATAAACATATCAGCAGCGTGACTTCACCCAACGACCCAACTTCACCTCAACCGATTTTGGGGTTGGCGCCATCCAGCGTTCACGACCACGAACCCGCTTGGCCCCCGAAAATCGTTTAAAGTCGGTGCTAAACAGTCCTATAAATGACTATTCGAATCAGCATTAATTTTTACAAGGAATCATGACTACATCTATTTACGTATAATTGTATACCGTAAAATATTCGGTACTGCAAAACTTTTGTTCGATCCCGGAATGAACTTATTCCAGTCACGGCGGCAGTGGCGGCCAAAATCAGACGTTTGTATTTAAATTTCGAATTTGGGAAGCGTCGTTCTCGTTGCAAGATCATCAAAGATTCTACAAAAAGGATCATCGTTCACTGTAAGTAAATTATTTATTCACAAAAGATTCTTCAGAAACGACTACGACTCTGCGAACATGTCGCATAAAAAGTTTGTGCCTAAATCATCGTCTTCGTCGTCGGTACGTTCACTGCTCGGAGCGTGAAAAGCGCATTTCGTGAGTTTGTACGAACGAGGCTTTGGTCTGATACCGTACGTGTCTTCTAAGAATTCCAATACGGCCGCTTCGTTACGCAAATTGTTAAACAACAGTCTGGTCTTTTTGGGGAGGGTCTTTTCCAACATAAACGCGAGATGACGATGGAAACATGTAAACTGCGTGGGTATCGTGGACGTGATGTCGAGCCAATCTTGCACGCAATCGAGCGGCGTCGTCGTGTGGCAACCGGTAAAGAGTGCCGGATTCGTTAAAATACTTCTCGCGGACATTACTCCGTCGCAATTGCTCTCCCTGTATAAGATTTCGGCACTCTCTAAACTTTTCACGTCCCCGTTGGCAATAAGCGGCAATTTCACGCTGTCTCTTATCACTTTTAAACCGTCTAAATCGATCGGCTCACACCTCATCTCGGGGGTTCTAGCGTGGACAGTGAGGAACGATACTCCCGCCTTCTCCAAAATCTTACAAAACTCGATCGTCCTACGAATGTCCTTCAACAATCGTATCTTCACAGACACCGTAAACGGTCTGGGAATACGATTTCTCACCCGACATATCAGATCCTTGACAAGATCCGGCTTTTTAAGCAGATCAGCTCCGTAGCCTTCTTTCAATGCCCACCGTTGAGGGCAACCGCAGTTCAGATCGACTCCGTTGCAATATCTGCGCCGACAAAATACGATTCGTTACGAAGCGCTGCGTGATCGACGATCGGTTTTGATATTAACGTTTGTGAACGTGAAAACTCACGGAGCGACCATCTCTGCTGCGTTCAAAAAATCGTTCACATTTTTAGCAGCAAATTGTACAATCAGCGGTTTGTCCTCGTCGTTGGTCGAGAACTCGTTCTCTCTAGCTTTTTCAGATCGTACGAACGAGTCGGCCAAGATCATGGGTGTAAAACAGACGTCACAATTGTATCTTCTCACCAGAGTCCTGAACTGTAGTCTGCAAAAAGATTTCGAACGTCACTGTGGGACACAATGGGAAGAAAATCATTCAATGTCACTTACTTGCTGTATCTAACCATTGGGGCACATACTTTTATCATCCTTGGTTCTTTCAACATTTCTACTACGTCGACTGACATTTTCATTTAATTTTCCAAGACTCACGCAGCTAGAGACGATACTTGTTGAACAAATCGTGTACAATTGTAAATACAATTGCACGAAATATGGAAATCGACAAAGTGCGGAACGGAATTATTTACGAATTTGATTTTACGTATTCATAGATAATGTCGTTCTCACACAGCTGGTAGTAGGTCACACAAATCGTTTACAGTTAGAGAAATACTTATTTTCGCTCACAGTAGATTTTGCATAGTCAGAAACGATTTCGTTGATCTCTAACGTTGCCTACTTATAATCATCAACTCGTGTGTTTGCGATGCGTTACAATAATTCTCGTAAGTAGAGTATTGTATACCATTTATGTTTCTATCTCTTGTAAACAGTTGGAAAGTTTGCTCGTAACCTCCTTCGTCTACTCTATATACACTTGCAATTGATTGTCGTCCACACGAGTCTCCTCTGACGCTCAAAAGAAGAAATGCATAATTGTCCCTTTGCGTGCACACATTGACAGAGTTAAAAGATTATCATCTCTTCGAAATACACGTTGCTGACGCTGACTGCGTGGTGTTTGTGTTCTCTGCGTGTATCCATTACATCCGTGTTCTCTTTTAAAGGTCCGACGGAAGAATGTCCTTTGACGAAAGGTAAAAGTTATAAATACACGCTGAGCACGTATTGCGGGGACGGGTTGAAATTTATTATAAGCTGTTTCACCATTCTGACCATTTCCATTACGACGACGTTAGTCTTGCAAATACTTTACGCCGATGGAACTCTGCAGGTACAAGTCGCGGACCGATACAGAAATGATCGCCTTTTATAAATTACGAGTCATTAGATCGATCTGTATTGTATGTAGGATAAAGCCGGCGTTCATGGTGCAGTTGCTACGGATTACACAAATTGTTCACAAATTGGAACGAGAATGTTACGCAAAGGTGGTAATGCGATAGACGCAGCTGTAGCAGCTACCATCTGTATGGCAGTGGTAGCTCCTCACAAGACTGGTCTGGGTGGGTAAGTGGGTGAGTAGACGTGGCTGGACCGACACGTTTGTCGTAATCCGACGATTGCTTTCAGGGGCGGATACGTCATGATGTATAATCACAAGGAGCGAACGAACCCGGTCATTGTCGATTTTGCGAGCAACACGATCAAAGGTAGACACATTTGGCAACAACGACACGTTATTGTTACACTTGAAGACTCGCTGACGTTACTCGCGTGTGCTAGACAGCTTCGACGGAGTGCGTGTACCAGCAGTATTGAGAGGATTGGAACGTGCACACAGTCTGAAGGGCAGATTATCGTGGAGCAATGTCGTCGAGCCTTCCGCGTCTTTGGCCAAAGGGGGATTCGTAGTTTCAAAAGAGTTGGCGACACAAGTGTCGAAGAGTGTGGATTATGAAATTTTATACGGTCACTTGAGCGCAGGGGACACGTTGAAGTTGAACGATCTCGCTGCAACGCTGGACGCTGTAGCGTCGCAAGGAACCAACGGTACACGAACGGTGGCCGACCAGCGAGATTCGCAGCAATTTTAATCGTTCCGAGTTTCATTTCAGTGTTGTACAACGGGAGTTCTGCAGAAACACTGTTACACGACAAACTCTTGTTTCCGCGGTTGGAGAATTACGAACCCGACGTGTACGAGGCGAAAAGGTCAAGTTTCTACGAACACGCGGTATATTATCCTGCACACGTGTCGCTGTTGGAATCGATGATCGACGCTTTAGAAAATCTCGGAATATCCAGCGAGACCGCGTCCACGATTGGGACACAGATTCAGGTGGCCGAAGCATTGATGAATTCATCTTTGCTTTCATTACGAATGAAGCGATACGGTGCGTTGTACTTCATAAATTGTACGTACCACCGCTGCCACCACCACCACCAGGTAACGATTCCAATTGATTTCAGTCGACAAGGAAAGATATACCCAAGTCACGGCGATGGACTGGGACGATACTTATGTTTGTATCATAACGTTAGTATCGTGTACACGTGTGAAACGTTTCACGCTCAATGTCGTAAAACGTTGTAATCGGTACGATTCTTCCAGCGGACTCGGCGCACCGTTCGGCCTTGGATACATGTCGGGTGCCGGTTTTTTACTAGACGAAGCCAACGACGACAATAATTTCTCCACGTTTCTCCCGATAATCTTTCACGACGAAAGAACGTCGTGCGGATTACGGGGTGTGTTTGGTACCGATGACGTACTGATTGCCGGACAATTGTTGTACAACATTATACTGCGTCGATTGAACGTTTCCGAAGCTGTCGAGTATCCTAGGTAAATGGAACACGTGGACACGTGGTAGTTCAGGATCAGTAAATTCGTTTTGTTCCGTCAGGTATTACTTCTCCTCGGACGGACTGCTCGCTGTAGAGAATGACGAAAAACACTCGTTGGACGCGCTCGTACGGGATCGGTTGACGTTTCCAGCAGTCGTGAACAGTGATTCAAAGAGCGTGAACGCAATTATAAAGAGGAGAGATCTGATGTCGAGTCATTCAGACAGTCGCGGCGGCGGTCTCGCGTCAAGATTTTAACCGAATATTTATTTGTACACGTTCAATCGGATGAAAAAAAGAAAAAAATGACTCGTGTCTAACGAGATATCGTTCACTCACTGTTCTGTAAAAATAATTCATGTTTTTAACCATTTTTTTATACAACCGATTGTCGAAAATATACTCGTGTCTTATTTCAAATGCGAACGTTTCAATTATATATACGTTTAATTATACTTTTTCGTCTTTCGTCAACAATTCCTGTCTGTATTCCTTGCTTAGATGTAGCTGCCTCAGTCTGGCGTACATCGCGCTAGCACCGAGCACGACGGCGTTGCTTAACCACCAGACAAAAGATTTATTTTCGTTGAACCAGTGAGTCGCCAAAACTGTTTGGGCACAAGCCTTGGCAGTACCGCTAATGTTATGGGTCAAGGGAGACGTTACTTTGATTTGAAGCGCGGTAGCGTATCCAATGGCGAACCCGCAAACACCACCGACGGTCATGGCCAGCCAAAAGTACATGGATCCGATTTTCTCGTAATTGTACAACGTGACGTGTTCTCCGTTGGCCAGCATTAGCGGAAGGAATATGACGACGCTATACGCGTTGTTGCAATAAGAGAGTAACCACACGTCTTGGTTCAGCGCGGGAAGAACTCGTTTCATATGAATAGAATACAAGGCGAGCGTCAACGATCCCAGGACACCGAAAATTGTTCCTAAAACAGACAGGGAACCAGCGACGTGTTCTTGATCTACACCGAGCCAGAATCCGAACACGATAAATGCACAGCACGCGATACAGCCTGTAGAAGTCTTTTGTCCTGTAAAAGTATAACGAATTGTACTGGGTCGTGCGAACTTATCACAAGGATCCTTACCAAGTATGAGGTATGTAAAAATAACGTTGAACACTGTCGTCAGCGAACGTCCTATGTAATAGAATGCAACGTCGACATATTTCAGACACAAATTGTTGGTCGCAATCATCCCGGTGAACAGGAAGGACAGTGGTAGTACCTACGAGTGAACATTATGTAATATGATGTAAATTGTTATTTTCATAGATGACGTTTGTAACGTTTACCTTTCCAAGTGTTGACTTATTACACGGATTCCCATCGGGGAATTTGACATATTTCGGAAACAACTTTGACAGGCTGCTAAGAATTATGCAGATAAATACAGATATTACACATTGACACCATGTTATGAAAAGTGGCGCGTCCAAATTGATGGTGTCACTGGACAATAGTGCTTTGTTTATGAATACGGTCAATATAGAAATAAGCCTGTAAGAACACGTTGATGTTTAGAGAAAACGGCTTAAATCAGCACTGCTGATCAGTACAAACTTATTTCAACTTACCAATAAAACGCGACTACTGTCGCGATGTATAGAAATTTAGAAAACATTTCATTTTTCAACGACATTTTATTATTTCAATTGTACGCGTAGAGTGGACGCATTTTGTAATTAATACGAGACATTGAACACTGACGAATCGTTCATTGTTTAAATATATTGTTTCGGGAATTCATATATACTACATTCAACACTCGAGTCAAAAAGATTTATTGTGTTACGATGTAAACGAATCAGTGTCTAATTGCTAGATAATTATCTCGTCATTCTTTCGTTTCTTTCTTGAGTAGGTTACACGCAGAATCCACCATGTGACATCGACCTCAGTCAACGTGCTTTATAAAATTTAACACGTGTACGCTCTATCTGATAAGCGTGAAGGTACGTGATTTTATTTTACAACGTGATTCGTGATAAATCTGTTTCTTCTAATTGTATTCTCAGTTCATAAATCGTCCTACAACTTTCAAAATGTTCTCCAATAAAACCTTAATACATATGGTCGCAATTATGTACATGTAAATAAAAATTATCCAAGTCCGTCAAGTATTTCTTAGGACTGTCTGGCATTACTTGTTGCGTTCGGTTGTGTTTTCTACCAAACAACACATACGCATGTATACGTACATTAATGTTGGACATTTACCTGCTTTTGTTCAAAATTACAACAATACGTGTTACTCGAACAAATAACCTTTCATTATCTCTACATAAATTTTACCGTAACGGAACTAAATCTTGTTTAATTACATCTAGTTGATAGTACGTTGGTAGTACATTCTTTTGATATATCTTGGAATTTCAGAATTTCAGCTCGAGATCACATACGATTCAACAGCTGCCGACCGACACCATTGACAACGTGTGTGTGTGTACGTTATATGAATCGTTGTTGGTAGGTTGGTACACGTAGTACAGTACTGTATATATATGTATGATACGTGATGCGTGATGCGTGATATATTCCGACCATTCCGACTATTGTCGTCGTAGTAGACCAAATTAGTGTACTCGCGAAAACGTCTTTTAAATTAGCATTTGGTTTATTTATTATTGAAAGACATCAAATCTTCTCGAGGAAGATGTTGCAGCTTCAATGAACTGTCGTAAGACGGGGTTTGTATATATCATAAATACACCCTAGTATAAAGCGTAGCAACTACCAGTTCAATCGGTGAATCGAACTTTGCACTTGCTAAATTCATTATTTTACATTGTCCTGTATAAAATCAATCGTGTTCAATGGTTCAAGTGATTGTGATAGCTTTACGTGTTATTGTCTCAATGTTGAGAATTCTCGGCACAATAATCGTCGACCACAATTTTTTGCAAGTCTGCGTTTTTTGAATTATCAGCACGTATTTCTTTTTCGCAATAGTCGACATATGTGTGCATGTATGTACTTTTATCGTAAACCATTATGTAAGAAGATATGACTCGTCAAACTTTAATTATTTCACTAAAATTGTACGAGAGTCAGTGCAACGGTTCACCAGTCGATTAACTTGTTCGATTTCGGAACAGTAAGTTCGGACTTTGTACTTTTCCCGTTGGTTTCTCCATCTAAATTCGAAGAATATCAGTACGTTAATTGTTATCCAGAGTCGTATAATTGTTATATCTACCATTCCGTTCGTTTTCATCAATTTTTATATTATTTTTTATGAAATCTTTGTCAATCTTCAACAGTTGATAAGGTTCGGCGACATGTCACATCACGAGGATATCATTTTGGAAGATGAGAGGAACGCAAGTGCGATACTCGAGTCAGAAATTCGGCATAGAATCCCATGGAGCGAGCGTGTGTTATTAAACAGCGAGATACCTGGTCTGAAAGAAGTTAAAGAATTGTTGGAAGACGACGATGCGAGCTGCCTCGGGGAGGAAGAGGACGGAGTCGGTTGTCCTTTGCCATCGACTCCCGAAGATGATCATCTTTTGGACTGTGAGGTACACGACTACTTTGTTGTTTTGTGTTCTCACCTATACTTGATTGTCTGACGTTGTAGATGACAGAAGTGCTAAAGGCAGGTGTGTTGAGCGACGAAATAGATCTCGGTGCATTGGCGCATAATGCCGCGGAGCAAGCAGAGGAATTTGTTCGCAAGGTATCGTACTATAAACTAAACGTTTGTCGCGTATGTAATTGATGATTCTGTCTCTCCCCGAAAGGTATGGGAAGCATCTTGGAAGCAGTGTCATTTCAGGAATCTTCCAAAGTGGTTACAAGACAATGATTTCTTACACGCTGGCCACAGACCACCTTTACCATCCTTCTATGCCTGTTTCAAAAGTATATTTCGGATTCATACAGAAACGGGGAACATTTGGACACATTTACTTGGTAACTACCTACCCACTTAAAAACGAGTACTTTTAAAGAAAGAAACGGCATTGGTGGACACACACGTTTGTTGCAGGATGTGTGGCATTCATTGGCATAGCTATATTTTTCATAACTCAACCTCCCGTAGAGATACAATTGGAAGAAAAATTGGTGTTTGGTACCTTCTTCGCGGGTGCTATTATATGCCTAGGAATGTCGTTTGCCTTTCACACTGTACACTGCCACAGTGAATGTGTCGGAAAGTTGTTCTCAAAATTAGATTACTGCGGGATAGCTATGCTGATCATGGGTAGTTTTGTACCATGGCTCTACTATGGTTTCTACTGTGATTATCAACCTAAACTTATTTATCTGTCGGTGGTCGTGATACTCGGCGTAACGAGTATCGTCGTATCGCTGTGGGAACGATTCGGTGAGCCGAGTTACAGGCCTCTGAGAGCAGGTGTCTTTATGGGTTTCGGACTCAGTGGAGTAAGTGATTTATAGGGATGAACAAACAAATTTAATTCATTAATCGTGGTTGTCACGATTTCGTTTAGGTAATACCAGCCGTTCATTATGCCATTGCCGAAGGCTGGTTCAAAGCAATTAGTCAAGCGTCGCTTGGCTGGTTAATACTGATGGGATGTTTGTATATATTGGGTGCATTGTTTTATGCGTTAAGGGTACCTGAACGATTTTTCCCCGGCAAGTTCGACATTTGGGTAAATGTCCATTTCTTTCAAGTGTGTTCCCTTCGATCCAACTTACGACGACGCGCATTAAATTGTTGAATTACGCAGTTTCAGAGCCACCAAATCTTCCATGTACTGGTGATTGCGGCCGCGTTTGTTCATTACCACGGGATAACGGAGATGGCCATGTACAGAATGACAATAGGCGATTGTGCGAATCCGAAGCAGGTGATGGCTTTTTAACCGCTGTGCACCGAGGCGTATAATATCATGTTGCTGTTAAATTTCACCTTCTGTACCGAGACTTGAGAAAGATTCCTAAATCTCTGTGCGTCAGTAGATTTGTACTAGAACGGTAAAACTGCTGGAAATTATCGTAACACGATTTTACTCTCAATTCTTTACTTCACGATTGAAAAGTGCAACTTTCGAGACGATTTATAAAGTTCACAATATGAAGTACAACATGTGATGACAAGGATTACTACTAATAATAAATTTACAGGATTTCATTGAATAAAAATCTTTTATACTTTTTCGTAATGATCCGAATTTGTGAAAGTTCGTGTCGATCTTTGTATCGAACATTATAAGCCGATCGCTTGCTGAACGTTTTATGAAACATTTTCCGTACTGCATAAACTAACGGGTACAATGTAATTATTTACACTTGTTGTTGTTGTTGTTTCTTTGTTTTGTCTGAATAATTTATTGAAATGATGCGATTTATTTATTATAGTATACTCGAAGCGTCGTCGACAATCACGTCGACTGACGCGCGCGCGCGCGCGCCGTATAAAATATCGAAACAGAATGGTACAGAGAGATACGTGGCAACAAACAGAACTTGCGTGTAAAGAAGATTTGCGTAATTGATTGCGAATCATATGATAGCACTATGAAAGTGTATTTTGAACACACTGTTGAAGCAATGGAAAAACTGTTTGTATTGCAATGATTACGTGTAAACTAGACAAAAATTCGATTTGCTTCGGGATTCGTCCACGACAGGAGCGAGTAAAGCACTGATTCTTCTTCTTCTTCAGTGTTTGCTCGCGCTACAAATTTATTACGAGATCATTCATACGTTCAAACTTTATAGTTCTTATGTCGATTTCCATTTCACAGTATTAATAAACTAATTTCTACCATCATTGTTCCTGGTTCACGGTATTCGTGACTGTCGCTCTTACTCTTCTTAAACGTAATCACCTACCGTTACATGCAACACGTTTCATTACAAACTCTGTTGGTTTCCCAGTATAAAGAATGTTGAATGCTTCTGTTATTAATATATTTATACATATGAAAGAGATATTGTTGAATTTTTTACACGAGTAATTGGTAAATTAATAAAGAAGGAAATGATGAATTTCACATGTAAAACAACACGATTATCCTACTTGTGTAATTTTCCAGAAATATATTTTTCTAAACAAATGTTGTAGTGTCATTTGCGAGCTGCGTCGACATTGAGCGTATCATAAATATTTGTACCTCGCTGTAAAAACTGACAAATCGTTCCAGCGACGACGTCAGCACTTGTGATTAATTAAAAAAAAAAAAAGACCAGCGAGTATTTGTTTCGAGTTCACTGAAATTTAGATGTTGTTATAAAAAAAACATCAGCTACTGATGGTCATGTATATTTACGTTCCAGCTTGAAAATATCATGATAATTATATAAATTATTTTATTTCAAATGTTTTTCCCGAGGAACGACATTTGATTTTACAGACGATATATTTTAACTGCGATTTCCTTTGTCTGCTAGCCATTGAATTTAATTAAAAATGATCCTGGTGATTCTCATGGTTTTGTATAAAATAAGATTTAATATAAAGCTATTTGTAAACTTACAAGTTATGACAAAGTTTTGTAATAAAGGTGATGTTACAAGTAGAAAAACTGCTACAACATTTTGTTTATTTTCAAATTTATATATATGTACTTAGCATCCATGCGTATAGGAAATAGTAAAACATGTACGCGCATATGTCTATAGATATGACGCAGTGATAACTTTGTGGAAATTTCGGGAGTGTCTATAGATCAAATCCACTTTAACTAATTAAATGATTTTGTAAATAATTATATAATATTATCTGTTTGCACGCGTCGTGATAACTATAGGATCGATACAAAGAAAATTGTTTAGATAAGAAGCATCCATAGACATCTACGTGCGAAACAGTTCGATAGTTTGTGGCACGTATATACATATATACACGTACATATACACAGCAAGTATACGTGTACAACGGTGTGCTACTGTGTTTTTACGTATATAGAGTGCATCGAATGCATGAGAGCTGCATTGCAAACTACGATATTGAAATGAAATATTAATAACAGAAAGGAGAAACATACGGTCGTGGCCTGTTGCTACTTGTGCGAAAGATGAATAAAATGTTCCGGAAGGAACGTTCTGTTTGCAGAAGCAACAACAAGTCAAAGGAATCATATTTATTTCAACAATAGAATCAAACGAACGACGAAAGCATGTGCTTCGAACTTTAAACGGATTTTCCATCACGAGTGATCGACACGATTCTATACCAGAAAGATTGACACATTAGGAAGGAGAGAAATGCACAAAAGTTGAACAAGAGACAAAATTCTCATCAGACCACTTTTTACGATTGATACTACATTCGTAAAGATGCACAGTTATTTATTAGTTTGCAGACTCGACAACAATGTGATTTCCATTTGATTTCGTTTAGATTTTACAATTATACGAGCATGTGAACAAGTATGCTCACTCAAAGCCGATACAAAATCGTGGGTCTTGGTGCGTTTGATGTAGTAATAAAGAAATGTCATTGATGCATCAACGATTAGTGTTATACCCGATGCATATTACGTTTACTACGGTTCTAAACGTAATAGTATAGAAAACGAGCCAAGCATTGAGTCTCTGAGACATCAATAATGTAATCATTGACAGATGTCTGTGTAACAGATTTTGAAAATAATTACGATTCCTTTAATTGTAATCGCGATGAACGAGGCGAATCAAGTTATCGGCCACACGTCCGGAACGATGTCTGATGATAGCAATAAAAATGAAACCAGCACGATGGCATACAACATGTCCAACGAGACGTCTGAGGTGTATGTATATTCCACAGAAGAAAATGGGAATGCTCAACAGCTATGGAACGCTTCAAAGGCCACGGTGCCTGATAGTACAGTAGTTTCCCCCGATACTTTGACCACCGCCAACGTGTACGTGTCTACGACGACAGAAATGTTTGATGAGTTTGGCCCACCGGATGGAATAGAATATATTTTTGTACCACTCGGTGTAGTGGTCTTTGTTATTGTGTTATCAGCTGTGGTATGGGTAGCGATATCACTCTTGTACTTTATACATAATCTTTTAACTTTCACTTACAGAAAAGAAAAATGATAAATGTCGGTCGATTCAGCAAATACTTGGATAAATATTCTACATTAGGTATCATTACACTTCTGTAGTTGGTCAGCTAACGAATATCTAAAATTTGTCTAGTTCGTAACGTTCTCCCAATAAAAGTAAATTCGTTTTCTGTTGAAAGTTAGACGACTCACTCGCTCACTGGATACTATACTAAATCGTCTGACAGTGTATTATGCTTTCAAAGGTAATCATTATCTCGAGAAAGAGGAAACTGGAACGTTTAAGACACAGGCTTATGCCAATGTATAACTTTGATCCCGGTGAAGAAGAGGAAGACGACTGGGAAACTGAATTGTTGGAGGAATGTTACAACAATCATCAAAGACGTGTATGTACAATAAATTATGTGTATGCGACTCGATAATATATGTATATTTGACGTTTGAACATTGTTATAGCAAGGATATCAGTCTATGGACACTGAAGAGAACGCCGAACTGTTTGGAAATCATTGACAATGAATCAACGATAGTATCATTTAAAAACTTGCTATTACTTGCAATCATCACAGATTAAAAATTCCAACATTTATTAGTACATAAATAAATATCGTTCGAGGCTACGAATGGTGTTTGTATACACAAGTTTCGATTCAGAGGATTCAAAGTTTTATATTCCAGAGTACAAGTATCTAAATATTAGAATTTCACTCGTCACGAGATTACGTACTGATTCGTAAGGAAAAAAGAAAGAGTTCATTTACTCGTCCGACTATAATACCTCTCCATCAAATGGATTTACGATGAAACGTAATAATTTGGTACCAGACGAGTAACCAGAGACCAAAACGACTGAGACGTTTCATTTCTGTTCATTCACGTTCACTGTATACTGTTTACAACAGTTGTGTCATAAATGTACAATTTTTGCTATGCGCTTCAATTTCGATTATACATATTTTTTCATATCCGTTCCTTCGTCAAATGTCTCGCATCTGTGAAATCGAAACGTACGCGTTCGGCCGAATATTTAATTTTTGATGACGTCGAGTATCAAGCATTTTTTTCTCTACTTGTGTTTAGCGATAAAAGATTCTAGTTCCATAGACGGCGAATTCGGTGTTTAACAGTACGTAACGAGTATACTTCCTAGCACTAAAAGATTACTTTTCTGCCGAGTAGTCGCACGCAGATTGTATCTACGTAATATTTATTGTTGAATTCTTTTTCCGATTGTTTACGTAGTATTGACTTGACAACTTTTAGGAATGCGATACATTAAGGTGTATTTTAGCATTGTAGCTTGGTAAGAACAGGAGAGTTTATGTTAATTCAAAGTGTATTATCGACGAGAGAATCATGTATAATATAACGAATTAGTAAGAGAATCGTTTAAAAGTTTATTTACTTAAATACAAATTTGACATTCACACACATGTTGGCCTCGACAGAACGACGTCGAATCTTTGCTCGTCCAAATTTTAATCGAAACAAAAGACACTTGTTGTACACACGAGACGCATCACTTTTATTTATTCCTACTTTTTACGTGTCGACGTCGTTGGATCTGTATGCGGAGATTTTGGCGAACAAGAATTACGATAGACAAACCAAAAATGAAATGTCAATTGTATGTCGGCGGAGAAATAAAAAACCATGTCAGCCAAAACCTTCGTCTTAATTCCAAGCAAGTTTACGATGTTGAAATTTTCGAACGTTCGAAATTTTTGTTACCACGTTTAAATATACTGATATATTACAATCTCATATACTTGAAAGAAACTATTAATTACATCAACGATTACAAAATAATAATAATAAAAGACTTGTATTACTAAAAATAATAATTGCACCTCATTTCGTCACGTTTCGTTCTGTACAATTTTTCCCAGTCGTTACAAAAATTATATTTTCAGTCAACTTCCTTGGAACTCGAGCAGTCGTCTTTCCTCGTTTAAATAATATTATACTGCTTCTTTAACATGTAGATTATTATATGAAAAGCAAACTTAAATATTTTAAACTTGTTACGAATTAAAAAAAACCTTCAAAGAATCATCCTGATACGTTGAACATACGTTTCCATGTTCAATTCTCTTCCTCCTCCTCCTCTTCGTCTTCCTCCTGCTCATCTTCCTCCTCGCCGGTGCTTTCTGGTTTCTCCTCCTTCTTCTTGGGTCTACCACGTCCACGCCCCGAAGGCTTTCCTTGCTAAACACGCGCGTGACACAGAATTTTCAACATGAATCTTTTGACAAGAATCCAGAATACACACTCTCGTACCTTCTTTTTGTGAGATCCCTTTGGTCGACCCCTCGCTTTTTTAACAGGCGTAGGGGACGCGTCGTCCTCGTTGTCAGATTTCGCGGAACGGACCACATTGTTCTTTTCTAGAGCGGGTCTTCCTCTTTTTTTCGCTTCTTTAACGACAGTTTTGTCTGTTTTCGACGGCCTCCCTCGCTTCTTCTTCTCCTCGACAACGGGTGAATTGTCGTCCGACATTCTCTCGCGTTACTGCGTAATGAAAAAAATCTTTTTAATTGTTCCTCGGCCGAGTCTTAACGTGACGAGAATTTGTGTAAACGCAGAAAGACGCGAGCTTAAACGGGAATAAATGTACGTTTATTAATATTCACACATTTTTCTCGATAAAACCGTTTCTTGCAACGTTTCACCTCACATTGTTACACACTTTGACCCCGCGTAAAAAAAATGTAAACACGCGTGTATACCTACAGGGTGGTATCGATCTCTCAAGTTTCTCATAAAGCTCGATAGATTCGAAATTTTAATCGAAATTCGATAATCGTGGGCGGTAAATTCGTTTACTACGAGTCGACAAGAGTGAACGAAAAATACTAATCGCGTTACGCAAATTACGCGCCCGTCCGAACATTGTAAAAGCGGCGATTCTGCCGATGGGCCAATTACGGTTGATTACGAAACAATTATGCAGAATCGATTAAAAACACCTGGCGATACATTATCGTGCGCATCGTACCGATGAGAAACGCGACAACGCGTACATCAATTGTAACGGAGAAGAATATTTATAAAAAAAAAGTGCGTTATGAAATTTCCGCGCCCGCCATTTTCAAATACATCAAGTACCCCCCCTGATAACATCGTTTTTCTCGTACGATAACGACAATACAACATTACATCGGACGACAAGCACGTTTTTAATACGTATTCAGAACGTCCAAAGAATGATGATTGAACGGCAGCAGACGATATTGCAAACAAATCACGATAGCGTCAGTCGCTACTAGGGACGCCATCGCGATCGAGAAATCATGGCAACACACAAGAGTCGTGGTGGCGTCCATCACAGACTCCTTTATAAATGAATGCGCGAATATCTCTGCAAGTAATGACTGGTTTCGCGCGAAACATTCACCGAAAAATCGTAAAAAATACAGTCTACGAGTATTTTTATCTTCCGACGCGAAGCGCAGACACGGTTCGAACAGACACGATATTTACCGGAGAAAAAGCCGTCAACACTCACCCCCAACGTCTCGTGTATACAGAGGACAAAGGCAATCGTTCAGCCGGTGCGCGCGCGAGGGAATCGAAGATACTCGTGTCCTTTCTTGATCGCGTTCTATATCGAGACTCTTAATACTGGCTAAACGACCTGGAAAGTCGACGAACAAACGTCTGCCCTTTAGCGTCGAGTAGACTGGACGAAGCTACGGCCTTTACCTCCGAACTCTGTACTACTGCTGCTGAACGAATAGCGAGACACGACTGACGCGATCGAGACGATGCACTGTATCCCGATTCGTTCGTTATCCCAAGATGCACTCCCCCACTCTTGACAAAACGCGCCTGCCGATTCCCGCCAAAATATTACGATCCTTTTTAGAATTACGTCTTCTGTTCGCGCGCGACTCCTCGGTTACTATTCTAATACCGACAGATCTGGGAAAAAATTCGACTTTCTTGAAATGTTGGACGTGACACGACTGTTCATGTTTGTTAAAATTAAGGAGATTGGTTGGCGCGCAAATACTGCCTCGTACAGTAATGGTGGACGCGTTGCATTTTACAACACTGTCTTAAATAATTGAACAACACTCGAGCGTTGCCTGTTTTGAGGGAAGGTGNGGGGGGGGGGGGGGGGGGGGGGGGGGGGGGGGGGGGGGGGGGGGGGGGGGGGGGGGGGGGGGGGGGGGGGGGGGGGGGGGGGGGGGGGGGGGGGGGGGGGGGGGGGGGGGGGGGGGGGGGGGGGGGGGGGGGGGGGGGGGCTGTGGTTTGGTTCAAAGAAGATTGAATTAAAGAAAAATATCGTCACTTGTTATTAATTTGGTTCGTATAAACGATTGCAAACTTTTGCTGCTAAAATTAAACAAATCGCAGTTGAGAAACGTCATTCATCTTTTTAATTATTATTTACAGCGTAAACTTGTATGTATACAATTGCATGCACAACTTTGTGTACATACACGACTTACATTTTCGTAAATTCTTCGTACGAGAAATTCTTCAGTTATACTCGTATCGCGCATACTTTCGTAAATATCCAACCATACATTCTTCGACAAACGTACCTCTCCATACAAAAACCGCCACGTACCGCTTACTTTTTCGCAAACGAAATTTTCATCGCGTGAGACGGCGTAATCTTAAATCCTTGGAGAGCGTCCTTCGCGGCCCCGGATTGAACCTCGTTCTCGAATTCGACGAACGCGATATCGTGTCTGTTGGGCACTAGACGCACTTCTTTAAAACCAGGGAATTGATTAAAAAGCATGGACAACATCATCTCGCTGGTCTCGTCGGGCAGATTGGTGAGGAACAGAATCTGATTCGGTGGCTGTTCTGGCACCGCAGCGTTCACCAGACCTGGATGCTGTGGCACGCCTGCGTGATAACCGATCTGTTGTGAATGTTTAGCCTGTTCCTTGGCCCGTTTCTTGGCACGTTTAGCCTCCTCGTCGGCAGCGGGCACAATTCTTTTCGGCTTCTTGGGTCTCTCTGCATAGGTGCCTTTCATTTTGGCAATAATATCACTGTCAGTCTTTGCGTATTGTATCCTCTGAAACACGCACCAGTCAATGACACAATCGCAGTCACATGTGTAATGAAAAATCGCGCCCATACCATCGGCTTGTCGTAAAATGGAAATCCTTGCATAGACCTCAAAGCATTCGTAGCGCTCGCAATCTCCTTGAAAATAACAAATGCTTGGCCACGCATTTTTAACGTCTTTAGCGCTACGATGTCTAGTATCTGACCAAACTGAGAGAAGATTGCGTACAGCGACCTTTTCAACTCTTCCTTTTTGACTTTTTCATTCAAATTGTTGATGTAAATTGTGTTGTTTGGTCTAATGTCCATCGCCACTGTATGAAAAAAACAACAGGAACGAAAGTTGAAACGGTCGATAGAGATCGAGTAAACAGAGAATGAAGCAATTGATTGATTAAATAAATGGAAAACATTTCTTGCGGTACGATGATAAAAATTAGATCGACTTACTTGATTAGTATTTGAAAATAAATTTTCCACAGTTTTTATGCTATGTTTAACAGTATCTTTTGTGTACTAAACAATTGTACTTGGTCGGCGTCACTCGCTTCTGGGGGTTAGGTAGAGGCATGAAAAGGTACAACGCTACCGTGTATACATGTGTATACACGTGTATAGGGAGAGAGAGAGAGTGAGTGGAAACTTGATGTTGAAAACATGGCACATTAAATGTGTAGACGATGAGATATGGATTCAAATTTTCAATTGTAAATAAAAATGTTTCCCACGAGTGGATTTAAAACCGTTAATTAAATTGGTAATTTAATCGAATTCTCGTGAGAACCCCGTTTCAATAGAGTAGAAAAGCAGGAGTAATATAAACGAGTTTGCAAAGTTTGATTGTCAATTTGCATTAATAAACATTGTCACAAGCGGTATGAGTACTAAACCGTTTAAAAATGGTAGAGGCGTCGATAAACCTTTCTGTTCTCCGTTTACCACTCCTCATCGGAACGACGACGATAAAGGAATTCTGATAGATGCTCCACGAGCGAGTAAATCCGAACCATTGTAAGTAGACGTTGTATATCATCATCTCGAGCTTTGATTAATCGTCTTGTCGTGAGACAGGAAAAGTTTGTCGATGAAAAGACTATTTGAAGAAACACCGCCGCGTAAAAGATCGCGATCGAGTACAGAAAATGACAACGACGATCGGATCTCTGAAGAAAAAAATAAAGTGTTGTATCGATCCGATTTAGAATCGTTGAAAGAAAGGATACGAGAGAAAGAGGTGTCTCTCGCCGCTCTAAAGACCAGTCTGTTGTACAGAAAAAAGGTGAGAGAAACGATTGAACGTGACGTGTTGTTTATAGAAATTATTTTTCGACAGAACGAGGACTTGGAGGGTGCTATAGAAAAATGGATAGGAGGTTGCCAAGCGGCCCTTCAGGATTATCAAGAGCATCTGAGAGAACGCAACGGCCAGAATGTGTCCATGTCTGACATTTTATCTTTCTTTGACATTACTCCCGACAAAGTTTGTTACTCCGTCGACGATGATACGTTTTCACCACGGAAATGTTGATGGTACATTTATTATGATATTTAAGACACACGATTGAAGTAAAAACTAAAAGTACTCCACTACAGACTTTATTTAATATTTGTGGGGCCTGAACGGTGCGTTGGGATTAAACAACATTGGGTCGTTCACAAACTTTGGATCTTTAGTCATGTATCCCATTAATCCTGAAGCAAATCAACACAATGTAAAGTAAAATGTATAAGATATATAAGAGAACATTTGCTAACGACGATTACCACATGCTTGTGCCTTTACAATCTCTTCCTCCACCCTCTTTTGCTTATGTTCACACAATCCTGTTATGTGTTTTCCGTATATTCTACCCGTGTAACGGCTTTGGAATTGAGACAGTAAGCGAACATTTTTGTAATCAGGTTCAATGTTCAGTTCACACAAGATACAAACTCGCCGTTCTTTTTTAAATGGATTCTCAATTTCGATCGGCTACAAGAACGAAGTCATTTCTATAATGCAACATTTAAACGTTCGATGATTCCCACGTATATTACCATATCCTTGTTTTCTGTAGTTGTCGTCGTCGTCGTCGTCGTCGTCGTCGTCGTCGTCGTCGTCGTTCCATTTGGAACACGTGCCTCGTTAGTCTCGCTGCGAATTAAGAGTGATTGAATTCTATTCTTCAAGATTCGTGTATTAATAAAAGTCGAAATCATTTTCGTTTGAAACAATTGCTACTGTCGTTGAACAGATAAACCGAGCCGCTCGTTAAAGTTTTACTTGTCACAAAAAATTCGTATCGTAGATGGTCTTGTATGACGATCAATTTTACTAGGTATACACCTGACGACAAAGTGATGGAACTAAAGATTGCTGTGGCGATGGCGTATTGTGGCGGATCAGTTGACTGATGATGGCACGTGGTGATGGCACGATAATGGTCGACCATGGTCGACGATGGTGGAGAGAGAAAGAGAGAGGGAGGAGAGAGATAATCGAGTCGACGGAAAATATGCTTAAATGTATCGAGAATTGGTGCGATGAAATAAATTTATGTTTAAACCAGATGTAATATTCGTAATAGTTGCGCGCACATCTCTTTGCAGGCACCGTTAATCGATCCGTATGGTACGATGAATCGTCTGCGTTCGTACAATTGTTTACGACGAAATTGTTTGGCGGTAACGTTCGCGTGATCGTTCGTAATGGGTATTACGGTTGGTAAATATTTCTTGGCGAGACACGGGTTCGACGCATTGCTGCGAATTATATTGATAGGATTATTTGTGTAAGTAGAATTTTCATCTTCCATGCGATCGAGTAAAACCTGATGTTGAGAATCAAACTTTTGTAATCCGCACAGTGAATTAGAGAAAGCAGAACCATTTACTAGAAAGATTCACGATGACGAATTATGGTTGTATAAGAACCCAAGAACCGATTCCTACGTTTCGACGTCCGTATTATGGGTAATGCATTTAGTATTATTTTTTATGACGGAACAATCGCCACGTCGTACGTTTCACTTTCAGCCTTTGGTCTTCATGATGCCAGCTGTAACGATTCTGTGTTTTTACACAATTTACAAAGACGGTACCGATTTGTTGCAAGCAACGTTGTCTGTGACATTGGCATTAGGTTTGAACGGCGTCATCACAGACGTTATAAAGCTGATAGTCGGTGAGTATGGCCGCTCGACCGGCTGTTTAAAAGAGTGAGCGACAAATTTGTCGGCAGGTCGCCCTAGGCCAGACTTTTTCTGGAGGTGTTTCCCCGACGGCAGAACGAATCCAGATTTTAAATGTAATGGAAATCCGATCGCCGTGAAAGATGGAAGGAAATCGTTTCCAAGCGGGCATTCCTCGTGTACGTATCAATTAGTGGATCTTTTCACGAGACGAGATTGATGAAACATCATCATTAATGGATTGTTATTGCCCATCTTTCAGTCGCGTTTGCGAGCTTTGGTTTCATCGCGCTCTACGTAGCTGGCAAACTACACACGTTCAGTTTGCTAGGCAAGGGACAATCGTGGAAGTTGTGCGCGTTCATGTTCCCAATCTGTATCGCTCTTGTCATTGCATTGAGTAGAACTTGCGACTATCATCATCACTGGCAAGGTAATCACGTGCGTTTTATATCGTGCCGAGAAACACGATGTGTGATAATGTGTCTCGATTTCGAAAATTCTAGACGTAGTCGCTGGCTCGGTGATTGGATACTTTTTGGCCCACGTGTGTTACAGGCATTATTATCCGCCATTAGATTCCCAGGTGTGTGACAAACCGTACGCTGCTCTCGCACGTCAAATCCAGTTGGAGAGCACGAGGAGCAAGAACGACCAAATCAAATGGATTTAACGCGAGAGAGCCGACTAATTCCAAAGTCGCGTTTCATTCTATATACAATTTAATTCCATTGTTTTTTAATCGATTTACAAGTTTAACGGGTGGTGTGTGACACGCGGTAGTTACGAATGTATTGCTTTAACGAATGTATTGTAAATACATGTTTTTCGTACTGAAAACAATGATCAATAAAGAAAACCTATATTTCGATATTAAAAGCGAGGCGATCGTTCGGCGTGGCGGCGGTGGCGTAAAGTGTGCGCGGACAGACGTAAGTTAGCGTGCGACCGCGCATAGAACGCCATTTTGTAAGTTTTGCGAGCGGTGCGCCATCAAATCGGTGGTCTTCAACCAGCCAGGGCTAGCAGCAGTCAAAGACAGTCAAAGAGAAGCAGTGCCGAACGCGCCAAAGTCGATGGTGTTTGTGCTTCTCGGTAAGGTTTTTCATCTCGGCGGTGGCGGCGGCGGCGGCGGCGGCGTCGGCGGTTGACGTCTTTGTAATTTCGCCTCCTCCGTTCCTCGTGCATTCGCTGAAAAACTCGTAACATCGGACGGCCGATATTGTTCGCAGCGCTTCGCCGCATACAAGTACTTTATCTCGTGTATGCAGAAATCGTGGAGCTGCACTGTCGACGATTTCTCAACCCTTGCGTGGTGAGGTGACATAGTTATTTACGAGCTGTTGTGTTGGTGAAATGTTGTCTCAACTTCCTGTAGTAGTAGTAGTAGTAGTAGTAGTACAAGACTCGTCGTGAGCGTCGTCGTCGCTCGTGTTGAATAGTCAAAAGCCAGTGTTCAAACCACGGTGTTTTATCCATTTTCCAAAAAAACGTTCCGCCGAGCTGAACGATCTCTCGCTCGTATCAACGATATTGTGTCAGCTGTGCGTGAAAATGATGAACATGGAGACGGACGAAATTATCGAAGACACAGATACGAATCTTCAGGTACGCAACGTATACATTAGTATTTTTGACCCGAAACCTACCGCCATCTTATGCTTCCTTACGATGGAGAAATTCACTCATGTTCCGCGATTAACCGTTAACGTTCACGGCCGCTCGTATTTCTCAGCCGAAGCCGCGTTTGTTAATCGAAGAACGATTGGCTACGAGAGGTTATATAGAATTCGATCGCAGCACACTGTCATGATTGTGATGTTTGTTTCTTCATGTCTAATATACGCGTAGGCAATCGCGTACATTCAACGATGATGGTTACATCGACATTTACGTCGGACCTTTGCCTGGCATCGTCTTTGACTTGTTCGTACGAAATTCTCTTTACTGTCGTAACGGGCACGCGTAATTTCAAATAAAGTTACAGAAACCCTCGTGTAGCAATCGATACGATTCGGTTCGCATGCTTTTGTATTCGAGTGAAACGTACTCGTCTAATTGAATTATCGGGACGTTTGTACGATGGATTTTTTACAATACAAAATGATGAATATGTGTGGTAACAACGATTTTATTTTCAGGCCCCTATTAAATTTTTAGTCACGCTCTCTAGTCGATGGATCTTGGAGACGCGCTCGTTTTAGTTTTATTCCTATATCGTAAACTCTGTTGTTTTAATCGTAAATTTATCTGTGAGCCGTTGTTCGATCGTCTCTGTCGCTAGAACAAAAAACAGGTTCGTGAACACGAGCTCAGCTGACTGAGAACAATCAATGTCTCGGTTCTCTCTCTCTCTTTCTCCCCCTTTACCCTTCCTTTTCCCGTTTCTTCTGCGATTCCCAATTTTTTTAATAGCGCTTTCGTAGTCCGAGCCAGTACGTTGCTCTCGCGGTCTAATGGTAAACGCTCGAATAGAATCCACGTTTTAATTCCTCGACACTCTGCACCGTCTCGAATCAGCAGTCGTTGTGTACAAATCAACGATTGACGTTTGTCACTTGTCTTTGCCACAGAAAGCAATATTGATTTGTACATACCGGGTTGGGTGGAAGCCAAAAATGTCCAAGAATGTTGAAGAAATTTTCGATCCGCTATTGTTAAAAATAATTATGTCGTTCCTTTTAAAGATTGTGCATAAAGATTGGGTAGCTATCGTTTCTCGAAATTAGATTAACTCGTTACTCTCTGTCCTCACCAAAGGTCCTCGAAAGTTCTTCTCGCTTGCAATTAGAGTTAGCTTAATACAAACGATCTTGCCTGTAGACGTGACTTGCCGAAAAAAAGATTAGCCGTACAGTACTAATAATGACTCATCGTTCTGGTTTCATTTGTTGCCGCATAACGTTCGTCGCACAGCTTTAATTCTTTCTTCTTGTATCTGAAAGTACTTACTTGTGTACAATAAATGAAGCTTGAAGAAGAACCATCGTACCACCACTTTTTCGACTCGGGCGTACCGGCGGCGGCGGATGTATTCCGTCAATTTTTCTACGCACACACACACACACACACTGTTGAGACTAGTTCTCTTTTTCGTCGTTTCATATTTGTTAGAGGGATAAAAACACCTACGTTTGGCACTACACAGATGTTAACAATCAAGGACGACAGGAAATTTCGAAACGTTCCCATGGTTCGGCAGCCAGTTCATTGTTGGACGAAATTATTGAAATGACTGGTGTCTCTAGGTTTTATTGCAATCTCCACGTTTCTGTGAATTTCACTTTCGCACGCGTCAACATTTTTCTAATAAATAAAACTCACAAGGCTTACTTTTCTACGACTCGTTGTTCGTCTCTATCCCTTGTAATTCGACCTGCTCGCGCAGGTGGCCGGCGATAGTACCGGCAGGTAGTAGTGCAGGCATTTCGAAGAAAAATATCCTCCACTGTGGTCGTACTGTTGCTGCTGTCGATATCGGTTAATCAGCAATAGAAAACGATCGTTTCTCTCGTTCTCCAGTAGGCCGTTTGTTGTCCCGTAAGCTCGATTCGTTATCTCGTAAAAGGAGCGTTGTACTCTTTGAAAAATAGAATGCAAACTCGTTACACAATCGAGTACGAATTTGACGTTTCGCATCGCGCCACTGCTGAAATATATTATAGGAGACGGAGGAGACGGTAAAAGGGATCAAAGAGAGGACAAAGAGACACAAAGAGCACATAGATTCGACACGAGTTCGCGATCCCGTTATACCGGGAGCACAGCACCGCGAAGAAATATTTCCAGGTGATCTCGGCCTCGGTCACCGCAGGACTTTTCAATGTTGCCATGCTACCACCTTTTACACTCGAGTGATCACACGACGGTATCTCTCAATTTGAACAACGCACGACGACGCATGGATATTACAATGTTAATCATCGTAGAAGCTTCCTACGCTGTCTTGTAAACAGTTCGAAGCTTATACGATCATAGTACCGATCTGACAGTGATTCCTCGCAATAGTGTCGTTAAAAATCATACGGCTGTCACGATTCGACACAGTGGCCTTTTACTCTGTGCAAGTGTCTAATCACGCTTAACGAGAGTACGCGTCTGCTACAAGGGTTTTCGCCCGCAATAAAGTATAGCAAGCGTTAACGAATATGTAGGTCAAATACGAAACAAATCGGATAGTCCTATTTTTTCCATATATAGAAGACGATCGGGAAATGTACACGTGTACGTTGTTGCTTCTACTGTTTTCTCGTTACTCACTGCTACAACGTCATCAACATCGTCTTCGTCAATTACGTCGAGTAAAGTCATTCGCGGTTGAAAGAAATCACTTGTAAATGATGTACAATTTTTAATGAATCATCAGGATTACGATAAATTGTAGCTATTAATAGAGTGTATTGTAATTGGAAAGATCGACTTGTACGAGGAGCGTCTTGTATGTACAAGAGAGTCTATCTGAGGTCAAGAACCTGATACCACGCTCCATCTTAAAATACGTACACGGCAACTTTGCTGTTATTTTGTATGACACGTAAACATCGCGTCTTACTACATAGATCACGCGCGTATTCGTTTTCACATTTTTTTCGAATATATATGCCAAAAATTTGTATCCGACTACTTTTATGCGATTTTTCATGCTTGTGTCAGCAAATGCGTATTTCTCTCTCTCTCTCTCTCTCTCTCTCTCTCTCTCTCTCTCTCGTATCTGAGTAAAGACAATATTTTGTGTACTATGTGTTTACAGTGTTCAATAACAATATTGTATGACCCTACTCGCAAGAAAGAACTACCGTCAGGAGTGTCTGTGCAGTATAGGCAAGAGAAGGAGACGTGTATGAAGCTGTTTGAGAAATGGAGCGAACCGGAACAAGTTGATTTTGTCGAGCAACTGTTGACAAGGATGTGTCATTATCAGCATGGCCACATCAACGCATATTTGAAACCAATGCTGCAGAGAGATTTTATATCTCTGTTACCGAGTAAGTACCATCACCACCACCATCACCACCCCGCCTATATGGAAAAAATGGTTTGCCGAGTGTGCGATGTATAAAGTTCGTGTTCTCATCGTTAGAAAAGGGATTGGACCACGTAGCGGAGAGCATTCTTTCGTATCTCGACGCCGAATCTTTAAAGGCTGCCGAATCGGTGTGTAAAGAATGGTACAGAGTGATCAGCGAGGGAATGCTCTGGAAAAAGTTGATCGAATGTAAAGTTCGGACCGACTCGATATGGAGAGGGCTCGCAGAGAGGAGAGGATGGTCAGTAGTAGTAGATGTGTGTCATGTTCCGTGGTATCCGTCTGTTTCTACGTTGTTTAACGCGACACATTCGCCCCGTTTAGGATTCAATATTTGTTCAAGCCGAGGCCGGGCCAGAGTCATCCGAATCACAATTTCTATAGGTCCCTTTATCCGAAAATAATTAAAGACATCGAGAGCATAGATAACAATTGGAGAATGGGCAGATTTAATCTACAGAGAATAAACTGTAGAAGCGAGAACTCGAAAGGCGTGTACTGTTTGCAATACGATGACCAGAAGATAGTCTCCGGTCTTCGAGACAACACGATCAAAATCTGGGACAGGAGTACACTCCAGTGCATCAAAGTTTTAACAGGGCACACCGGCTCCGTCTTGTGCTTGCAGTATGACGACAAAGCGATAATATCTGGTTCGTCCGATAGCACTGTACGAGTCTGGGACGCTAATACCGGAGAGATGGTTAATACACTGATACATCACTGCGAAGCTGTTTTACATCTTAGATTCAACAACGGGATGATGGTCACTTGTTCAAAGGTTCGACCGTTCTTCTGTATATGTACACACGTCGATTTATCATGTGCGAACAAAGAGGAGGAGTAACAATTGTGCTTGTCGGCTTTAGGATCGTTCGATTGCTGTGTGGGACATGACATCGCAGACAGAGATCGCGCTGAGGAGGGTACTAGTGGGACACAGGGCAGCAGTGAACGTTGTCGATTTCGATGAGAAGTATATCGTTTCTGCTAGTGGTGATAGGACTATTAAAGTATGGAAGACATCGACCTGCGAATTTGTGCGAACGTTGAACGGACATAAACGGGGTATAGCGTGCTTGCAGTACAAGGACTGCTTAGTAGTTAGTGGTAGCAGTGATAATACGATCAGACTATGGGACATTGAATGTGGTGCGTGTTTGCGCGTGTTGGAGGGACACGAAGAATTGGTCAGATGTATCAGATTCGACAGCAAGCACATAGTCAGCGGGGCATACGACGGGTGAGTGTCTCGAGAAATATTCTAGCGTTTATTTTTTTTTCCACACACATATTAGCACGGTTGTACACAGTTTTAGTAACGTTCGTTTCGTTTGGTTCGTGTTACAGAAAGATCAAGGTCTGGGACTTGGTAGCAGCATTGGATCCACGCGCTTTGACTAATTCGCTTTGTATACGCACATTAGTGGTGAGAAGACATTTTCTAAATCCCTAGTTCTAGATCGTATCGATCGAATTGGCGTGTTTCTTTTTTTTTTCCCATGTAAATAGGAACACACGGGACGCGTGTTTCGCCTTCAGTTCGACGAGTTCCAGATAGTGTCGTCGTCGCACGATGACACGATACTGATATGGGACTTCTTGAATTTCAATCCAACGAACGGATCCGTGTCGACAGCAATAAACGCATCAGGTGTGAATCAATCCGATACTAGATCTCCATCTCGTAAGTACGATAAGAATGTTACTCAATGTCCGATTCCTTGTGATTTCTAACAATGTGAATGTTTTTCAACAGCGTTCGAGTGACGCATCCCCATGAATATTCCTTCATTGTGATATAATTGTAAGTCGGATATAATAATGTTCAAAACGCGGAGATATGCGGACACGTTTGTTTCTTCTTAAACTCGTCGGCAGGTCGTCGTCATCCTCTCTCTCTCTCTCTCTCTCTCTCTCTCTCTCTCTCTCTTTCTCTCTCGAGAGATCGGTCGGACTCCATCTCGTTTCATCAGACGAGTGATCAGTGAGAGTGAGTTCAATGTGAGTTCACGATCGGTGTGCGATCAGCGAATGGAGATTATACGAGTCAGTGGTGTCCAGTGGTGAATAGCGCCTAAGAAGGAAACAGAGTCTCTCTCTCTCTCTCTCTCTCTCGGTCATTAATTATTTTCGTTTTCGATTTGCTGTGAAAAGCAAAAGTAATTCTCCAAAATAGGATTATACATGTATATGGGATGACACACGAAACTAATACTAATGCGAATTAATTTATATGCGCTTGACGCACTGCGTTTAGTAACGAACAGTATAATTAAAAAAATCACGTAAATACATCCCATGGATGTAAATAATCGTTTGCTTTGGCCATATCTGGAATTCTTCTACGCTCTATGACATGATAGAAGTTGACCACATTTTTCCTATTACTATGAGAAGAAAGAAAAGAAAGAAAGAAAAAAGAAAAAGACTTGCGTGATACGTGAAGAAGATGAAAAAACGTTTTTAGGGAGGCTGGATACACTTAATAAGACGTTAGCTGTATTATAGTAAAGATTAATGAATTTTTTTTTTAAATGTAATTAATTTATGGTAAGGAGATTGTAAGATGCTGCTGATTGATTGCGCTCCGAGTACTTACTCAAGTGTGTATGTGGAAACGACGGACTCGATACGTAGGAAGATTATTGTAACTGTATCGCGTTTCATTCGTCTTCTAAATCTAGTTAATGTGAATTATTATTATTATTATTATTATTATTATTATTATTATTATTATTCTACTACCCGTGTTTAGCGTTATAGATGTACAGCCGTTGATCGAAAGAGCATAATAGCAGTTTTTCATGGACATAATCTTATGAAATTTATACATTATGGATCGAGAAGTGAACGAGAAACTAATCAACTTCTGCACAGTCGTTCGTCAAACAGCATTTGCATTTAATTATACAAAGTTTCAGCAGCGTACCGAGACGTGTAAATAATATTGATTCGTAAAAGAAAGCAATATAGTGACTCTGAAGTAATCTTAGCTGCTACGAAGAAATTATTATGTTTTCATCAACGTCGCCTGACAATTCGTCGTATTAGTCGATTTTTATTTAAGACACCGTTGATCACACATGTTTTGAGTGGTTAATTGCAAACGTGTGTTCTGAACAAATATGGTGCGAGTCCAAAATATAATTGTCATTCTCGAGGAGACCATTTTAAAAACCATCTATCGAAGATATCATTTTTATTCCTACGATAGTATAATAATAAAAAATATTTTTATCTCCTTGGTATATCGATCAATAGAATAAAACGTTATACGTTCCCAAAATTGTCAAATACATTTATATATATATNATGTGTGTGTGTGTGTGTGTGTACACACACACACGCGCGCGCGCGCGTACATATATATGGAGATCCGGTCCGGCAGATTTTTGTAGTATACCGCATGTTGAAAAGTCTCGGAAATACTTTGACAAAAGTATAATAATGTCGTAATAAAAGTGTGGCAGGTATTAACGTCGTTGCTTCGTAAGCACACTGTTCGTTACGCTGACGTACTTCTCACTCTGATGGATCGGAGCTTCGGATGAATTCGAGTTGTAATAAACGATTCGACGTTTGTCTCACAGCTTTCGTCAACGATTACGTTTTAACACGTGACATAAGACGAAAGTATGTATTTACTCGAATTCGAAAAAGTTCTGTAACGAACCATGTGTTTCAAATGTGTAACATAGTTCTGATCATGATTTTACATTTATATCGTGACAAAGGTATTGTTAAGGGAACATTGTGATCTTTATAATAGTCGGTATACTGACATAAATTGAAGTATGAATTGAATTAAAATCGCAAAGAAGATACCCAAGCAACAAAATGCAACTTTAGTCGAACGAAATATATATAAATACGCATCGCGTCGTCGTACCTTAATTACAACATACTTCTTCAAAAGTAATGATGCAAAATGATTTTGCACCCCAGTTATCTTTATAATAAACATAAGTTTCTCTGTCATCGGTAAAAGAAATTACATTATAATTAATAATAATAATTAGACAATAAATACGTATGAAACGTACAGGAGTAACTCTTCTTTATTTGACGTACTATACTACGTAATAATCGCGAATAATTTGTTATCAATTCGTATGCACACAAGTTCGCGCACATTGTTCTTTTACATTATTTTTTTTAACAAGATCTTCAACGAGTAACGAGAACGAGACAAAGCACTTGCATTTAAAAAAATCTTACAAACAAATTACAAGTTTTGTATCACCAACTTGGAAGAACTGTATACGCGGGATCGTCGCGGGATCGTCGCGGGATCATCGCGGGATCATCGCGGGATCGTGTCGGGTAATAGGCTTAAAATATATTCTGTAACAAATTAACTGAAATGCATCCGATGAGTTTTTCGACAGCGACTAATGATAGAAAGAGGAACACGTTCTCACGGGTCCTTCACGGGTAACGTTTTTCTCTATTGATACAATATATTGAGACACTGGTTCAACGTGTGTAAAGTTGTATACGCCATTGCTTTGAGCACCAGCAGGTCTGGGTCCAAGTTCAAACTAGAGTTCTCGATGGTTTGCGCTAACGCGAGATTGTGCTTCTCCACTTTGCTCAGTTGTTCCTGACAATTGGCGAACGCGTCCAAGATTTCCAGCTTGGCGACCGGCGGGGTCCTAGCAGAATTGGTAGAATGTTCCCTCGGAGGCAACGGGGGGTGGCAGCTGGCTATTGCCCTCGTATACATCTCTGTGACAGCTCGTAGCTTGTCGACCCATTCTTGTCGAGCACGGGCATCCGCGGCCCTTAATTTGATCATGTCACCTGCAACACGACGAGTCGGATATACTCGCGCATAAATGCACGCGTATACGGTCGCCGGTACGGTACGCGAACGAGTAAACTGCGTACGCTGGAACGAGAAAAAGACAACCTACAAAATGTTCTTTCAAATATACCTGTAGCAGAGTTAACGGTAAATGTGTTGGAATCTTCGTCGCTCGGGGCGATCACGGCACCGGCCAAATATATAGAACACCGTGGTCGTTGATTTTTTTCGGATTCGCTTAGAAAATAATGCAGTTCGCCAGTCTCGGGACTGAGTATGAACCAACGATATTGCCAGCCTTTCATCGCGTTCGTATATTTATGCAACAGACCCTCGTAGGGGTGTCTTATTTGAACGTTCATCGCATTTATTGTTCGAATGGTATGTTGGAAGCCTCGCGATTATAAACATAAAAGTTGGACCGTTGATTCACAGCAGCGATCTGTCATCTGAACTGACTGACCGCGACACGTCAAGGAAGGCTAGTCGAATGCTTGTTATACGCATCGTAAGGGAGGTTGGGAAGGAAGGTGAGACAGAGACGTCTGCATGATTCAAATGAATCGATGTATTTTCGTTTAAAATTCCACATACAAAAAATGTAATAAATCTCGGAGTTGTCGTTATTAACAAGTGTGATTAAACGCAGTACTAGAATAGTTATCGTTAGTACAGTGCGTATGTGTGCACTCCGTGGAAGGTGCACGTAAAACGTCAACAAAAAATAGAATATCGAATGAAGTAAATAAAAGGGTGTTGTCTACAGTAAGATCGATTTCTTCTATCGTCAATCAACTTGTTGATAACAAACGAGTCGTCATGTGAATTAAAGCCGTAAAATAAGACTTAGGAACTCTTTGATCACTACTACAGCTAAGACTATAAAAGAAATGAAAATATGATATACTCCTTCGTTGAACCTTCCTCCTCAGTCTTTTTCGTCAACGTAGTAAATACTGATTGGTCCCCTTGCCCACACCCCCCCCCCCCGCCCCGCCCGGTGTCCCTCGCTCGCTGTTTTATACGGACGGTAACTCCACGTCGAATTGTCCACTTTCACTGTCGAACCGGACGATCTTTATTCTTACAGTACTGTCAGGGACAATAAGTTTGCCGATCTTCTCCTCTATTTCACGAGGATATCGTCCTCGGACAGTCGGCGCCACGTCTGTGCAGATACAGTTAAAATTACAGTTGCAATTGTCGCGTCGCGTGATAAAATTAACGAGTGAAAAGAAATATTTCCATTTCCGTGTACTCACTGACGATGTTGCAAATGTTCGCCATCGCGTTAGGCGCGATAAAATCTTTAGGCATGAGCCGTATATTTTCATGGGACACGACCTCGGTGTTTCCGAAATCGATGAAAAACACGGAGCTCGATGTGGCGGTATAGTTCCGAACTGTACACACTGCACGGTACCATCCGTTCAAGTATGCGGCGAGACACAGCTCCTTGTCCCGTGGAATATAAGATTCCTTCGCTTCGCAATATTCAGCCATCTGTAAAGGTATGAGAAAACAGAATACGTGTACACGAACAGCGAACGGATACGATTCGTGTGAGAAATGAGACTCACCATTTTTGGCATAACGTCGTAAACGTGAACCATCAGGTCACGATCGAAGGGGCACATTGCATACTGATAGCACTCGTTAATAGTGTACAGTGTCAAGACTTGAACGGTATCGCCGACATTTCCCAATGGCACCGCACTCAATTCGTTCGACATGTAACATATTTTTTCTGCGACACGTAACGTTTTCACATTTAATTCATTGTTGCTTAAGATGATGTAACTCACCCACACCCCGTAAAATGTGTGCGTATCTTTAATAATTACCGTCTTCAACCTTCTTGGACGCCGGGGTTAGCAATTCGATCATCCTCTTATTAACGGTCTCTCCGTTAGATTGTATTAGATATACCCCGTCTTTCGAAGGTACACCGTCGAACTTGCAAACCAAACGGACATCGGTCGTTGCCAAAATGTTCAAATACTCGTCCGCCTCCTTTGTGAGAGGGACGTCGGTCGGAACGTCTTTCAGTATAATTTTCGACGAACAAGATCGCAACAGTTTCAAATCGTCGGATATGGTCTTTAATCTTTTTATATCGGTGACTTCGGAGTTCCCAAAGTCGATGTAGGATATCGTTATCTTCTTGTCCTCCTCTATCTTCGTAACTATCGCACGATAGAAATTGTCATCGATGAACCGGGCTAGGACCATTTGCCCGATAGTGGGCAATTCAGTCAAGCTCGACGACTTCTGAGCACATATTCCCACATTTCGCATAACGTGATGGAAATATTCTATCTCTTCGCTGTCCAGAGAACGAACGAAATAATGCACCGGGCTCCGGTAAGTACTGATGACCACCTGCGGAATACCATGTATTTTTTTTTACCGTGTCACGTACGAACGGCTTTGTACGAGTCGAAGTCACATACTTCATCCCCACTCTTTAGTTTTGCGAACTCCAGTGTGTTTTTTTGCAAATCTTTCTTCACGGCATTTCTGTCGGTCGACGGTGGTGATGATGATGATGATGATGATGATGGTGGTGGTGGTGGTGGTGGTGGTTGTGATGATGATGCTGTTGGTGCTATCCACGGCTTGACAGTGGCCTTTATCGTATTCTGCTGTTCGTAACAAAGTTCGATTTCGACTGCACCTTGTTCCTCCTCCCCCGTTCGGGCAGTGACTTTAAATTCTATTTGGTTATTCTCCTGCAAATTATTGAAGTAAGCAGTACACGTACACATCGTACGAAGCGCTGTGTTCGATTTTTTAAGGCTCACCTTAAATTCATGTTTCGCGTCAGTAATCACTTCACATGATGCGCCGAACACACGAATATCGGAATATTCACTGGGACAGGCCACAGTTTTGTCGACCGACACGACTGTAGCTTCCTCCAGCACAGCCATTTCCGAAGAGGATAGGGCATACCCTCTGAGCCAATCGTTTTCGGTGCCACTTCTCAGGCCGCACATTAAATCTCCAACGGTCGGTCTTGTGACAAAAATTAACAAACAATTAATTACAATAGAAACAATAGCGATACGTTCACCAATTAATGGAGATGTACTTGTGATTTCTCGAATTCTGTGCCGCTTCTGCACATTTCCGGGGCAAGTCGTCCAATAATCGTGCATAATCCCCAATCGCGTTGTTCGGCAGAAACGTAATGCCGTAGGTGCCATTATTTATTTTAGAATGTATCTCCAAGACGCCTATTTCTCCGACAGCTACAGTGTTCACTACGCTTTTTAATTTATTGACCGACTCACCGCCGCCGCCGACAATGCTGGTGGGAGTTTCTGATTTTGCATTCGGAAGAAACGGTCCTCTCGCAAAGGATATGTCTTCTTCCATCTTTTCCCACTTCTTTTCACACCTACTCGACTGTTTCGGGCCATCGTCCTTAGCAGCATCCTTACCCTCGTCGAATGGTTGTTTGGCCGAAGGAGTTTGCTCGGGTATCGTCGTATTCTCAATCTCATTTTTAATTCGCATACTTTGCTCTCTCGCGAGTTTCGCGCGTAAATTATTACCGACGGCCGCAATATCGGATTTACCTTCTGGATCTTTCGAGCCACTTTCGCCAGAACATCCATTTGAGCGTTTCAACGCGTCGATCAATTTTTTTGGTTGCCGCAGAGGTGCGTGACTGTCCGAAATTTTCCTGCCGGACGAGTGTTCTTGTTTAGACGACTCTGCTTCTACAGGCACGAACTGCTGCACACTTGTTACTAAAGCTCTAAACAAGGCATGCAAAACGAAGAGATGTACTAATAAAAAAAAAAGAAAAACATCTATAGGGTTCATTAATCGTCGTTGTCGACATTGAGGAAACATACGGTAACTGTAGACAATTATCCTTATGTTCGGGCCAATCAGTTTGCTGACAAATCTTACTACAATAGAAAGTATGGCATCTTTCGCAGAAGAATTTGGTTAATTTTGCGCATACTTTGCAATTTCCTACTCTGCCTTGCATTTCATCTCTGCCGTATTCGTATAAACCCTGTCACATTGAATTTCCAAGCAATAGAATCGTGCAGCCTGCATTCGTTTATACGACACGGCAAATTATTCTATACTCACGAAAACACGTTTCTCGTATACTCTGTTGATGTGATGGTCAATCTCTGGATTCGAATCGGGAATCTCGTACAGCATATAACCGCGGCCAAGGGAAACGTGTCTCTTCCCATCCGGAGTAACAGTCAACTGTCCTCTGAGATGTTTACGGAAAAAATTATTAGGCAGTGTAGACGATGTACCGAGAGCAACTACTTGAAAAAGTACCTTGTCCACAATGCGTTTGTGCTCTCATACGGATCTGCATTCGAGCATATACCATTCAACAATCCAGGACCATTCTCCGCTACTTGCTTCAATACTCCTGGATGGGGTCTCACGTCTACAGGTTTCGTTCTTTCCATTGTTGGTGTCCTACACACGAGTTCTTTTACACAGGTTCAAAGTAAAGAGGAAAAAGAAAGGGCGTACATACATAGACTTGTTTGGGGTCACAACGTTTTTTCTGTTAGAAGTTTCGTGTTCTTCACGCTTGGATACAGGAGTAGACGTTTCGTTGTATCCCAGTTCACCGTTCGTTCGTTTCTCAAACGATACTTTTAAGCGCAACGGTACTTTATTGTTTAAATCTCTAATAGCACTTTCTGCCTCAACGTATGAACCGTAAGTGACGTAGGCCCATCTAGGGCGAAAGAAATGCCCCTTTACGATCCCATAATGGTCAAAAATCTCTAACAATCCATCCTAAATTATGAAATATAATCTCGAGTTAAAAGTATATTTACGGACACACGCGAGTAATGAAAAAAAATTATATCGAGACCTCGTTCAGTTCGAAGGGTATGTCGGTGACATACAACGTGAATTCCTCGCTGAAAGATAGAAACGTGAGTAAGAACTTTTAGAATGATTTTAAAAGAATTCGAAACGCGCGAACAAAAATTTAGGAACACGCGATCGCGTAAAAGGATCCGACACACGTGATCGTGATACAAAGTAATGCACGCGGTATCGTGTGCGCAAGAAAGTAACGGAAACTTTGACAAAAACAAGATTCGAAGCTTGAAACGACAATTACTTTGCTAAGCACATGTCAATTGTACAAAATATATGATCGAGCTTACTTGGTCGTTGGATTAGGTTTGTACGCCATATTTTTAGCGTGCTTCTGACTTCTAACTGTGCGACTACCACCTGCTCGATCAACAAAAGAGAGCGTTAATTAGAATTTACACCACCTCGTATAAACTAGCAATTGTCGATATCGAAACGGCAGGGGCCGAAGTAGAACAGTGTAGTTCGTTACAGTTCGTTAGTCACCTCGAACAAACACGACTCACACGACTGAAATGATTTCAAACACGAGTCATGTTACGTTACACGACCCCGGTTCACTTTCACTTTCACCGAATCCAAAGGGACGATGTGTGCTCGGAGTTCACGATCGTGATAACGCTAGATGACGCCACCCAAAATCGTTTGAGGTACACAATTAAAATGAGCCATAGTGGACGGCCACGGGCCACGCCCACAGGGGCCACAACGATCGCTGCTACTCGCTACTCGCTACTCCTTGACCAATTGTATAAGCGTTGCTTTGGAATTCAATTTCCTCACCGCGTCCCATTCCAACGTGACAATTGAATTTTTCTGCCATTATTTTAATTCGCTTTCCTTTCGTAGTGCGGTTATCATCGCATTCTCGAAGGACACGAACCAAGTTGCTGCTAGACAACGTTATAACATTGTGCGAGTTCAAGTTCGGACGTTGTAGTACTCGTAGTGTTGATACAAGATCTTCGATGCATTCGGTCCAAAAATTATCCGAGGTATATTACAATACGTTGTTTATTGAAACTCATAAAAGTACATGCCACTTACACTGGAATTATAACAGATACTAGAGGTCTAGTATGCGAATCTGGAATTACACGATTCATAACTGTCGCTTTGTTCCAAACAAATCGGCGGCAATTTTCTCGCTTTGCCCCCTGTCTTTAGACTTTGTATGTCGTATTGGAGCATCTGCTTCTGTTGCATTTTGTCGTAAAGAATATTTTGAAGCACAGCAATGTCGGCTTTATGCTCCATTTCTATTTGGACCATACTCTCCTGCGATAAAAACGACGTAATTGGTTCGATAGATTATTGCTCTTTTGACATTACACGCGGCAAAGTTTACCTCTGAGACGAGAGGCTGTTCCAAGATTTTGGTCAGTTTATATTTTTCTTTTTCCAATACTGTCAGCAGGCTCAGTTTCTCGGTGTTCTCGCGAATTAAATTTTTTAGCACGCCCAATCCCTCGTTGTAGTCCCACTTTATATCTGTGAACGAGCATGAGACACAGCTGAATTGACACAGCCGGCTTTCATCAAAATAATTTTACACGCCGTAAAATATCGTTATTTACCTTTTATTTTCTTGGCATAGTTCTTCATGAGACTCTGAACGTCTGTTTTAGTATCATAAATCAATCTCTGCAAAATCGTCTCATAGAGATTGATCAGAGAAACTCTTTGACCAAGCTTTTGTATCATTTTCTCCTTTATATCTCCTTCTAATTTTCCGTTTTGAGTCTGCATATATTTTAAATCGTATTTTATTCGTTTCAAATGAATTTCGCTTTTCCTATACGACAAAAGGTAGATGATGCATGATAGTTTCCTCAACGATCATCACAATTCTTTCTGTACTGTACTTGCGCTTGTCTTCCAAGTTGAACGTCTCTTCCTGCAGTTCTCCCACTCTGGCGTACAATTTCGCCAATTCTTTTCTATTAAAAAGTACACAATTGTGAATGTCCGTAACGGAGCCAGAATCCGACGTGTGCTGCAGCTGATGAATTTTCAATACGACCGTCACGTTAATGTCGTTCAGCTTCTTTTGTTTATCTAGCTGCAACGAAACAGAGTGTGTGTGTGTGTGTGTGTGTGTGTGTGTGTGTGTGTGTGTGTGTGTGTGTGTGTGTGTGTGTGTGTGTGTGTGTGTGTGTGTGTGTGTGTGTGTGCGTGTGCGTAACGAAATAGAATAATAGTAGTAGTAGTAGTAATAGTACCACGAAAATTTGCAGTTCCTCTTCGCTGCTCTTCACGTTGTTCTCGATGATTCGTAAATGCTTCGAGTCGGTGTCCAATTCTTTCTGCAACATTTCTATCTCCCTCTGTTCCTCCTTAATTCGAAACTCGTACGCGTATCGTTTTTCCCTCGTAGAGAATGCCATGTCGTATAACTCTTTCTCGCATCCCGGCGGGCAAACATTTTCATCGAATGGGATGTACTCGGCTTCCGTATCTATTGTGCCGTCCGACTCCTCGGTGCTAGTATCCGAAGATTGCGTAGCCGAATCCGATTCGTCTGCAAGGTATTGTTTACATATTCAATCGGTTCGAAGTTGATAAAAAGAAAAAAGAAGTGACAGACCGACACACCATTTTGTCTTTTCGCTGCCGTATATTTCCTCTTGTATATCTTTTGTAAGAAGTCGTGAAATTTGTCGTCGGCTACAGCTTTCGCGAACTCGGCGGTGGTGTCTTTAATTTTAACTTGCAATCTACGAATCTCTTCCTCTCTCGCGGCGATGTGAACGTTCGTAGCTTGTATCTAGTTAACACGTATGGAATAACAATAATGAAAAAACAATGCAACGAGGGAATAATCAAATATTATTGCGTGTTAACGTTATCGTATCGTCGTTAACAATACCTTATGCATCATTGTTGAACGTTCGTTCGATCTTTGATTCACTTTATCCTCGAGCGCGAGCTCCGTCGTTTCGGATTCTCTCAGGATAATAAACTCTTCGTACAGAGTCAGCAGATTCAGATTCATGTACGTGCTTTGATAAATAACGTCCAATCGATACTCTTCCAATTCGTCTAATTCGTTTTCCAGTTTCTCGTAGCTAGACTCGATGTACCGCAGAACACAATCTTGTTCGTACGTTCTCCGCCACAGTCGCGAACGTTTCGCGTCACGTTCCCACGGTGTTTGAACCGAGTCGCTTACGTTCAGACTCCGCAACACATCCGCAGCTATAGACGGATGATCTTTTATCTTCGTTTTCGAAGAGATTACGATGCTATGAACACTCTCTTGCTCTTCTCGAACACCTTTGTCGTCGCAGTATAACGCTTCGTATTCTAAATCGGAATGATCTATCAATTGATCGACGATCAACGATTGCCTCTGTCGTTTCACTTGTTCCATTTTCTCCGACATCGACACGTATTTTCCAAGCTAAACCCAAAATTCACCCAGCTTTTTCAGTCAATCGTCTTAGGCGAGTGGAAACACGAGTGGTCGACGTGGACAAAAAAAGAGAAAGAAAAAAGAATTCCGACCGAACCTCGAGATTGTGTTCAGGAAACTCTACGTCGACGTCCAGTTTAGGTGGCTGTGGCGAGGGTCTTATGTGCTTCAGCGGTACCTCGATGTGAATTCTCTTCAGGACTTCAGTCAGTTTAACGATTTCCTTCTGCAGCCTCTCTTTCTCCACTGCGATCGCTTTCAATCTCGAATTGTAGCCTTCTCGTAAATTATGAACCTAAGAAAAAGAAGAAAAAGAAACTGTTTTTACGTACCGATTTCCGATACTGACCGATGCACCACATTATATATACCTTGGTCCTACAATTTACAAATTCTTTGTATTTCGTGGCTGCCGTCTCTTTTTTCCTCGTTGAACTCAACTCTTGGTTTATCTTCAAATGAAATTCGCCGATCGTCTCCTTGGCTGTTTCGAGGGTAGCTTCGTCTTTTGCACGACTCTTGGCCAAGTTCGGTTTCTTTTCGTGCAATTTTTTCCACTACAAGCGACGACGACGACGAAGACGATCAACCGCATCAATAGTTTATTGATCGCGACGCGACATTCTTATTTTTAACGCCGCACTTACCTCGTTTCGCCGCCGAGTCAACCTCGCCTTACTCTCTTTATATTTTGCCAACGTCTGATTGATTTGCAATCCTAGTCCAGTGGTTAAATCACTGAAATCTTCGGCTAGCAATCCTTCCAAATACTCGATTTGCTTCATTTCGAGCTCGGGTTTCGCTTCTTTTTCTTCTTCTTTTTCTTCTTCTTCTTCTTCTTCAGCTGCAACTCCTCCCTCTTCCACCCTGTTATTTATGAACAGTGTACCAGAAGAGTTCAAAGAAGAAGAAGAAGAGGAGGAGAAGGAGGAGGAGGAGGAGGAGGAGGAAGAGGAGATGTATCGTTCGACCAAGTACGAATTGCGACGCGCGCGCGTGTGTGTACACGTGTGCAAAGAACAACTGTTTGAATTATTTTAATAACTTAACGTACGTAGCTTATTTCCCACCGATACTATCCGATCGTAGTCGCAATTCCATCTCTTGGACAAGAGTGTGTCGAGTTAAAGGTAACGATAGATATACACGGCGACAGAATTAAACAAAGGTATAATACCTGCCTGTTTTCTCTCGCCTCTCTTGGCGTTTCAACATCTCCACACATCTGGAGATGCTGTCGGTGTCCAGCTTCAGTTCTCTCACAGAATGTACCAACCTCTCTTCGTTTCTGTCATTCAAACGTTTATTCTTTTAATTTTCCACGCGAGTAAACATTATAACACGCAACATGCGTACAGTATACCGTAGACCGCGAACGGCAGACGAGTGACAGGCGTGACGAAATGGTTCGTCAGCTTCTCTAATTGCATTTTGCTCTTTTCCACTTTGAACTCGAGCTTTTGCTGCGTCAACGTTTTATGCGATTTTAGTTGTTGTTCCAAGTCTTCCACTATCCTCGGGTCTAGCTCGAATTGCGATATTTGTTGAGAGCGAAGAAGATACTTGTTCCTACATTAATTTCCGACGATAGTGATCGACGTTCAACAATGTTATTTTTACGTCTACACGTGCCTGGTCGTGATCTTGGTATATTCTTCAGTCAAATCACGTATCACATCGAGCACTTGCTTCTTCCTCTTCCTTGCAAGCGCCATGATTCTGTTGCGTTCTGTTCGAGTGATCACCTCTTCTAAATTCGGATGATCGACATCCTCGATGTCCTCGACCTTTTGAGGCTGCAAAAAAATCTCTCTAGGCTAGAGACGTCCGAATTACTGAAAGTTTTCCGCGACCGTAATTAATTTACCAAGTAGAGAGAATCCAACGTGGTCGGCGGATCATCGTGCTCTCCGTGAATCGACTCTTCGTTCACTTTAAACGAGAATATATTTCCGTCGCGACCGCACGTTATCAGCATTTTCCTATCGTAGCTCAACAATATTTTCGACATGTGACCATTGTAATAATCATGTATCGGTACGATCAAACAGTTTGAGAAATCTAACGGATCCCGTTTCTTCACTTTTACGACGTGAAGCTCTCCGTGCTCCGTTCCCAGGAACATGTATTCCCTGTTCTCGCTGAAAAGTAGCGTCGATAGTAGTAGAAGAAGAACAAGAAGAAGAAAAAGAAAAAGTTCCATGATTCGCGTAATTCATAGTCGAATTTCTTACTCGAAAAAGAAATTGTGTATCTCTGTATCTTTCGCACATTCGATTATCCTACTGTTCACAGGTTTGCCGTGTTTTAATTTGCCAGATAACGGACGCGGATACTCGTAAACGTATCCTGCGTCAAAGCCACCCATAAACAGCCAAACGTCTCCTCCGTCGACGCTGTATTGCGCTTGTAAAACTTTATTCGGAACTTCTGGAATATAAATTTCTGGTAGTACCATCTCCCTCTCCTCGATGTCCACTGGAAGAACAAAAGTGGCAACACGCTTAGAAACGAGACCTATATTACGCGCGGGGCTACTCGCATTAATTGTTACTGACTAAGAAACGTTTCCTCGTCGATTATGATATGCGGATTCTCGGCCATTAATTGCTCCATTTCTTTTCTCTTCTCCTCGATCAGCCGTTCCATCTCTTCTTCGTGCCTAATTCTTACAGCCTCCCTTTCGATGGACGATTTTACCGATTCGAATTTAAACGATACGGGTTTGCACTTGACAAGCTCGTAAGTCGTCTTTGTATACGGCTGTGGCTCTGTGGGTAATTTTACTTCGACGAAATCTCCTTTCAAACATCCAATTAACAAAGTTGCTTCCTACGCACGAACAATAGAGATTGTGACTTGTAATTATACCGGTGCGAGATAGAAATTTATTTACTTCTCGAGGGTTCCACCATGACACGCAAGAGACGGACGACGGAACCTTTACGTAGCCTATGGGTAGGATCGTGGGATAATGCTCGGGAGTGTCGATCTTTAATACGAAAATGGTAGCGTCGTTGCTACCTGTCACTAGTAGACTGTAACGCAAGTTTCACACGTTCGTAGATGAAATAATTTTTCCACGCATATACGAACAATAGATTTATTCGATTCATGCATACCTACGAGATTCATTCAATGACATTACGTTGATTCGTTCTGAATGCGGTTTTATGACTTGAATCAGCGTCGTGCAATTTCGTTTTACATCGTTCACACTCGCTGGTTTCACATCCACCGAGATCATCCTAATGATACCGTTCTCAAAACCGCACACGAGCGTCGTACCAGTTCTCTCGACCTGCTATTACACACGTACGGTATGACAAAATGTTTGCGCTGGTATTTCACGCGGTAGTTCCACAATCTACAAGATTCGAAAAAGTAGAGTAGTAGTAGTAGTAGAATGAAACTTATTAACCTCGCATGGAAGCCAGACCACCTGACTTCCCCTGTCACGAAATTTGTGAATCAAGATCAACTTCTTGCCGATGTAATCATAAATATGCAAATTTCCATAACTATCCAACGTCGCTACAAACGGTCCCCAGTCGGCGGTGTCCATATCGACCACGGGACCGGCATGGCATGTAAAAATTTTCTTCTGTTCCTGTTCTTTTTTACTAGTGCAGAGATCGAGTAACCAGAGTCCACCGTTTCCATCCTGTCAAACGTTCATTTTATTATTGAACTGCTGTCTGCTAACGTTCCAATTCGAGCACGTACTTACTTGGGCGTACCAGTGCGTCTTTTCTGGTTTGTCAGGCTCCTGCTTTCGAATGCACATGAGCATGGCGCGGTGCTCTTCTTCGTCAGCGATTTCAAACTCGTATATCGGTTGGATCTCCAAATATTGTTCATCGTCGGCTAGATCAGCGTGATCTATCGTGTCGTAAAACCAGAATCGTATCCATCCATCGGATCCTGTAATCGCCACACACACACACACATCACACGCGATATTAACGCGTCGTATCGCGAAATATCTTTTTTCTTTTTTATCGTTACCAACTGATATAAGTTCTCCGCTAATATATTCGAATTGAGTGATGCATTCTGCGTGCGATTTTTCTTTGTTTCTTCTACACGTCTCGAGTTTGATCAGACTCTCGTCCCACAGGAACATATTACCCCACTCGCAACCGGAGATTACCTATAGTATCACAAGTAATTGTAGAGGAAACATTTTTTCGATGTCTGCATCTCTAATCGCTGCTCTCCACGATTTTACACACCGGTTACGGGTTATTACGTCTCCTTCATAAACTTACAGTCTCGTCTGGCATAGGATGAATAGCGATGATATCAGAGATTTCCGTATTCCCGAATTTGCCAATTTCGCCTTTCAGCTTCAATCCCGTGAAGGTCCTCGACATTTTCCAAAATTTGATGTGTCCTACGCCGCTGGTGGTCAACTGGCCGGGAACGTATTTAGAGAAAGTTACGTTGTACACGTCGTGAACGTGAGATTTACATTGTAGAATAATCGTGGACCGTCTCCAATTCCAAAGGGAAATGAAATAATCTGGCTCGCCTCCTTGCGATGCTAGTAGCGATCCGTCCGGACTGTACAAGTATTATACGATTCAACAGACAATTATTGGAGGGTTTGTATAACTGAGCGTCTGTACATACATACGAGTTTACACGAACCTGTAGGCTAAATGGAAATATCGTTTGGTCGTTCCGCCTTTTAATGCAGTTATCGTTTGCATAAGGGGCCAATTGTAAATAGTTATGGTCGGATTCGTCTCGTTCGCTCCAACAGCGATATGTTGATGCACAGGATTTTTCTACGAGGTTTTGTCCAATTCATTGTTCGTACGAGAGACGTGCTATATTCACATATTAATCGACTGTGAAAAAGAACTACCGTCATGTGCCCGATACCATTGCCCTTGGAGCCTATTTTGAACCAGACTTTATTCTCTTCGAAGTCGACGAACTGGATCAAATTGCTGGCAGCAAAGGCGATAGTCTGCGGATCGATTACGCAAAGATTGAAATACTTTCGACAATCGTATCCGTACGAATGACTGATCGAGAAGTTTCAGAAATTAAGGGCAATATAAAATTTGGAGGACGCAAACTGTTGTACAATGATTCTTTTTCTTTTTTTTTTTTCTTTTTTTATTAAGGATACAAGAATTCCAAAAACTCTTGGGATATCGTTGCATCTTCCGGTTTCCTAGTTATGGACGAATAATATTTGTCTCCCAGAGCAAATTCTTTCTTCTCGTCGAGTTTCAAGCTGTCTTGTTCCTGTGGTGAATATTCATCGTCGAATTCCCAGTCTTCCCCCTCGGCGCCTTCGTTCGAATCAAAATTTTCTAATCCGATCATCGTCACCGGCGGCGGCGGCGGCGGCGGCGGCGGATAGTAAACGGTGACAGGTCAGAGTTGGAGATTTAAATAATAAAGACGCGTCTCTCTCGAAAAATTTCAATCAGATTCAAATGAGATCTTAGCTCCTTTTACGTGACCACCGTAATACAATGATCCTTTCTCAAACAATTCAATGACGATATAACCTCAAGGGTGGGGGCGGTAACAAACGTCACTCGATTTCGGGTGTTGTTGATGGTCGACGTCGACGGTTGTCAGGAGAATCAGTTGCTATACGTACAACAGCAGTCGAAAGGAAAGAGGGAAACGGTGTTTAATCATGGCAAGTAACTGTCAAATGCATTTGAGGTATTCATCTATTTGCGCTTATATTGACACAAGTTTCCGAGTTCTCCGCTCCTTCCTAGCGGTAGAGGTTATGTTCTGTTAGACCCAATTTGTTGAATAAAAATTAGCATGGAATTAGTATCGGCTGTCATTCTCAAAGAAATTTACCTTCCTTTCTTTTCTCTCTCTCTCTCTCTCTCTCTCTCTCTCTCTATCTATCTATCTATCTATTTATCTGCCAAAAGCCAAGAGTCTGTTCTCGCGTCTCAGTGTATAAACTGACAGGTCTCAATATGTGATATCGATTCGATTGTGATACAGATTCGTTTCATCCTCATACAAAATAGAGCTGGTAAAACGAGATTAGCCAAGTGGTACATGAATTTTGACGATGATGAGAAACAAAAATTGATAGAGGAAGTTCACGCGGTGGTGACTGTCCGGGATGCTAAGCATACGAACTTTGTCGAAGTGAGTAGTAGCGTCTCATTCATTCCCCCCCTCCCCACTCTATTTGTAGAACACACTGTTGTTGCACGCATTGAATTTTTTCCGTGTGTTCTAGTTTCGTAACTTCAAGATCGTGTACAGAAGATACGCTGGTCTATATTTCTGCATTTGCGTCGACGTGAACGACAATAATCTCTGCTACTTGGAAGCGATACATAATTTCGTCGAGGTGTTGAACGAATACTTTCACAACGTGTGCGAGTTGGACCTCGTGTTCAATTTTTATAAGGTAATGGGAACCGAGGGCTACTACCTTCGGACTTTGGTAGTAAGTAGTAGTAGTAGTAGTAGTAGTAGTTTTTTCGTGAAGGCTAGCAGTACTTTATCGTGATTGGGATTAATTTCAGGTGTACACCGTTGTGGACGAGATGTTTTTAGCAGGTGAAATAAGGGAGACCAGTCAGACGAAAGTATTAAAGCAACTCTTGATGTTGAACTCGTTAGAATGAATCCGTTATTTAATTCAAGTGTATGGTACGAAGAGATGTTGTATTCCAACGAAATTCCTCTCTGCCGATGATGATCATGTATCGTATTGTTGCAATGTTTTGCAAAAATGGTGTCTCTCCTGTAATATATATATATATATATACATATATATCTTTACGTCTCCCAATTATTTTTTAATATATTTACGATTCGTTTGCCTGTGTATGCACAGTTTTATTATGTCGAGTAAAGTCGATTGATTATTGTCATTATTCTAAAGGTGGGAAGCAAGTCGAATAAACGTATAAGCGTTTTTAAATTGTCGTAGCATTTTATCGAACCATCATCAATTTTACGCGTACGATTCTCCACACGCATACCGCACATACATATGTACATGTACAACTATATATTCCATAGAACAGCGGACAATGTAAATAATTTAGAGACCATGTCACTTAACGGACACACGGACAGTATTGTGATTTGATGAGAAGAAATAATGTATGTATGGTGTTGTTATACACAACGGCGTTTTCACATTCCTCTTGGAGTTTCTTCTTCTCTTGACGACGATCGACGACCACCACCACCACAGAGTATCATCTGGAATTTTTCTTTGGGAGAGTCAACGCCAACAGTCCTCCGACTGAAAGAAGAAGAGAGAGTTGTGACAAAAGTAGTAGGGCGCAAAATCTTGAGCGAGTAGCAGTAGTTTATACTTACAGATGACTATACTTCCAACTAAAAAGATGGGAACTTCACAGCTAATGTCCAATAGTAATCCAAACGCCAGGTTGCTAGCGATAGCACCTAATCTTCCGAAGCAAGTCATCATGCATATAGTGACAGCTCCGACGTGAGTCGGAAATATATCTACCACGATGCTGCTAATGACAAAGTTAGCCGTGACTATCGCCAATGAAAAGACGCAGCTGACCATCAGGATTTGTAACGAAGAGTTTACAAAGTATATGGCGAAGCCAAACACTCCGGCCAGCAGCATGGTAGTCACTATAACGGAACGGACAAGAGGACATTAGACGATTTCGCGAGCGAATTCCTCCGCGGAAAATTTTAGTACCTGGCATTGTTCTTCTCCCCAGTTTATTGGCTAGATATCCAGACAGTATATTTCCCAATAGGCAGAAAGCGTTTATCGTCAACGAATTGATAAACACCATTTCGTCCATGTCTGGCGAACAGCCAACGGTGTCCACGGTTGCATTGATCACGTTGTCAGCGATCGCCGTGACATTGTTGACAACGGAGATTGACGGTTGCAAGTCGTGCATTAATTTGCAGACACCGACCGTTATGTTGGGATGCAAATTGTGATAGTTTTCGAATCTGTTGAACAGCTCCGGCAACCACAATCCGAAACCGTAATATCTGAAGATAATGTATCGATTAACGATCGTCGTCGTCGTCGTTAGGAACGTGATTGATTCAGTGTAATTAGATCGGTCCCTTACCCGAACATGTTCGCGAAATAAATGGTCCAGCATAAGATCGCGTAGTTGAGCAATGGCGGTGAAGCCAACGATTTAATTTGTTGCCAAATATTTTTTAACAACTGTGTCAACATGCCAGATCCTTTTTTGTTATCGTTGACGGGAGCCGTGTCGTCGCATAATAAATATTTTACCTGCAACGCCGATCAAGTTAATTCGCTGTCTCGCGATATTCTTCGACCATGTATACACACTCACCGGATATTCGTCCTCGTGATTTCCCGTATTAATCGCGTAAATCTTTTTTAATATCGACAATGCTTCCTCGGTCTTGCCCTGAGACACCAAGAACTTTGGACTCTCGGGATATTTAATTGCTATAAGCGTTACTAATAGAGTAGGCATAACGATGATTGCCAAAAGTAATCGCCAGGAGTTGTAAACGATTCCGTTGAACTGAAGAGACATCGGCATCGGTATGATGATCCATGCCAGGCCTCGAAGGAAGAGAAGCGGATTTATTAGAATAACGTTTAACGTAGTAACAATCGCGGACGGAGGAAACGAATAATTCTTATTTTACCGGGTAATATCAACCACGACAACGTCCAGAAGAATCCCACGTAACAAACGGCTTTGACTCTTTGCCTCTCGGCGTGAAACTCTCCTAAATAACTGTACACCAAAGATCCAGGCGCTCCGATACTGTCGTTGAAAGTAACAAAGAGTCGTGATGAACATTGTCGAGCGGCGCGGCGTCGTCAGAGAGCTTCTATCGAAAAAATGTACTTACAAAAAGCCGCTCAAGCCTCGGAAGAATAATAATACTCTGAAGCTTTGGGAAAAACTCCCGGCGATGGACAAGACACTGTCGCTAAACAACGTTAACAACAGTATGTATCTTCTTCCATAGGCGTCGGCAAAAACTCCCCAGACTAAGGAACTGATTACTCCGCCTGATTAAACGAGAATATATAATTACGGTTGACAATGCCTTCTTCTCTAAATTAGTACGATCTAGCGTTTACCCAACAGGAAAGCGACGTTCAACAGTCCTTTCTGCTCGGATGATAAATTAAGATCGCATTCGGCCGACGGAAGGATATAAGCGTTGATCCCGTTCTGGCAGCCGACGCACAGGAACATTGCACCGCATAATAAAAGGATACTGTAGTGAAACTTTCCATATCCTGAGAATCAGAAGACGTAAGTTATAATACGGTCGACGATCGAAATTCGACGAATACATTGAACATAGGATGTAATAGTCACCGCAAAGTCTGATGGCTTTTTCGAAGTCCGCGGTGCCCTCTTTTCCACCGTTCGTGTCTAAAATGATTAAATGAATTCCAATTACGTGGGATCAACAATATCGTTCGATACGTGTTAATAAAACCTACTGCTTTGTACAAAATTTTATCGAATCGTCTCTCAAACGCGGAGATAACGATTAAAAAAAATTATTCGTTCGTCAGCTTCAATTACTATTAGAGTTAATTAGCTATCAGCAAGGTATGACACTGGCACAATTAATTGATGGTAAATGCGCACACGGTAAGTGAATAAGTGAAGAAGAAGTCAATTTAATTTCTTCTCTTTCTCGTGAGTTCTCAAGAGAGAGGAACGCGATTTATTTTCACAAAGTCGACACGTCGCGAGACAGCTGCGATCGGGAATATGAAGAATAAATTATACACACGTATGCGATTTATAATGCTATTAAGCTGAGAAGGTTCTCCGAGTGACCGAACGATAAACAGTGAATTGGATCGATTGAAAATTTATAATTATGATTCGACGAGCGTTTTTGTGGCTCGTTGAAGTGGAAAAAAAAATATGTTCGCGGATGTGTGTGTGATATGATCTGAACAAATGAACAATTTAGCGATCAAACAGTTGGATAAATGGACAATTAGGCAAATTGGTGACGACGACTGTAAACTTTTTAATTATTCCGTGCCATGAATTGATGTTTACGGAAGTGAGAGACGGAGGAAGTATAGTTCTGATCATTATCATGCGTTCGCGTTTGTTCAATTATAGAGCTGGTTATTGGTCCGTCGAATAGAACAATTGAGAGAGAAAAACATAGTTGCCGAAATGCGAAAAGAAAAAAAATGCGACTGAAATTATGGAGGAGAATGTGGAGCACGTATGATGAAAAAATCAGTTGGTTGCTGACGCGAAAATACGCGAACACGTAGGAGAAGGAAAATATCAAACAAGAATGTTATCATTGACGTAATGAACGCGCACCTGGAATTTTGATTACGGCGTGAAAATTGTACAATATTTAATAACATTGTCGTCGCCGTCGTGATATTTTTCAAACATTAAATGATGATTTACGCAAACGGAATACAAATTATGTGATTAACAACGGTTGACAACGATTTTATAGGCTGTTTCATTTCTATTTTTCTCTACTCACCCACTGAAAATGATAGGGAAGTTATTTGATTCACCATAGCTCCTGCTTGCCCTAAACGCCCCTCTAATTGTCCTTCTCTTTTCTCTTGTTTTACGCGAATTGTAATACTTCTACCGTTCTCAAGTGTCAGTCTTCAAGTGTTCTCTACTTTTTATTCGTCCTCCGAGTCGTTTTTTGACAACGTCTCCTTAATATAATCTTCCTAATACATCCCTAATGTCTATTTCTTCACTCGAATCGGTCGGGTTCTTGACTGAATGTTGAAACGGCTCGCGGTTTCAATCCCGTTTTCCCTCAAAGCTTCGCACAAAGACTGACGGAGACACCACCGCGTTTAAGAAGGCCGGTATACTCACCTCTCTTTAAATAATATCGCATCCCTACCTTCTTCATCTCTCTTTTCGTCATACTGGCGAAATGTTCACGTGCAAAATTGAATTCTTCTTATTCTTCATATCGCTCGTACGTAATGCGAGTGACGCACAAAAATCATTAAACAATTTTCAGATCAAAACAATGCGAAATTAAAACGAATAAGAGAAGAAAGTAATCAGACTAAACAAGTGTTTGCGTAAATGATTTATTTATAATCTACACGGTTACAAATCGCAATTACACGTATAATTATAACAAGTACAGGTTTCTTTCAATAAATCAAACGGACCAAATTAACAATTGCATATTATTATTGTTACACTAGACGTTCGTTGGACGTTACCTGATTACAACAGAGGATGCAAGTATTTAATTTTGAAGAACAATCGCCAGCATTCGTATAAAATGTACACATACCCTGCTGTTGCTGCTGCTGCTGCTGCTATCAAAAGAATCAGGATTCCGATTAGCAATTACTACATAAATAGTGTGTTAAACATTTATAATTATGCTCGCGTTAGTAAAATAATGTTTGCTGGATCCCGATTAGGCCCCCTTTGAATACGAAATTAATCGATGGAAGCGATTATAGGCGCGCCTACTTTAATTCGTGTTTGCCAACGGAACAAGGATAAGACGGAAGGAAATTTTTATATAAACGGCACTGTCGCACTGTCTACAAGGAAGGTTCTATGCATTTTTCTTGCAACTCGAGTATTTATAACGAGTCAAGTATGATTTTCGGTATTCTATTGGTGGGTACTGACAAAATTTCCTCGATCGCACTCTGTCTGAAGCATTTCTCGTTATAGCGTCCGTGAGATGGTTGACGAGTAGGAGCAGGTAGGAGTAATTCACGAGGAATGATAAAACAGTGTTTTATTTTTTCTTTTTTACAAAATACCCGTCGACAATTGCCGGTAGGTAGAAAAATATATGTTTCGTACGAAACTTTGTAGCTTTCGACGGTACCTCGTTGTACAGCTAGTAACAACGAAACTGAGCCAGCTATGTGCATGTGTTAGTTTCCCCTAGGGGACAAAATTCAAAACGAGCGTTAAGAAGTGTACGTCTTATCTTTTCAATGCTCGATCAGGCATTTATAGAATTGTGGTCGATACTGTTTGACACGTCAAAATAAAAACAATTTTAACCTACGCCTGGATAAATAGTTACTGATGTAATTTTATTTTGAAATTGAATGTAAAGGGAATGTGAAAATACAGGAACGGTGTAACTTATAAAAATAATAAACGTTATTCGTTCACTGTATCATTTACTTATTATTTAATCAATTATTAGGTTAATTAACATTTTAAAACGTAGGTTAAAATGATTTTGGGGTTGCTCGTGGCGCCATCTAGCGTTCATGACCGCGAAAGTGCTTGGCTCCGATGAATTTGGAGTTCATCGTGGCGCCATCTAGCGTTCGTGGCAGCGAAGTGCTTGGCTCAAATGAATTTGGTGTAGGCTGGCAGTGCGTGTAGCTGCCACCGCCGCGCTGTTGTCGCGCGTGTGATTATAAGGAGGCTTAAACCTCTTGTGAGCGTGCTCATTCGTGCTCATTCTCGTTCTCTTTGGTTGGAAAGTAAATAATAACGTGTTAGTTGTAGACAGTCTGCCTTAGAAGAGAAAATGAGTAAGGCACATCCGCCGGAACTAAAAAAGTAAGTATAAGACAAATTTCTTGTACATAAAGTATGATTACATTGATCTTCGTCGAAAATGTTAACCTTTAATACCTTGTTCGTTTTCCTTGTTTCAGGTACATGGATAAAAGATTATCACGTAAGTATACAATTTACATTAAAAATAACAAATAACAAATTACACTTTCCCGTTGGTGTAAGACAAAGTGCAATAATTCTGTTTATAGTAAAGCTGAATGGAGGAAGGCACGTTGTTGGAATTTTACGTGGATTCGATCCTTTCATGAACATGGTAATTGACGAGAGTATCGAGGAGTGTAAAGATGGTACCAAAAACAACATAGGAATGGTGGTAAGTTATAAATGTCTTGCCTCTGTTCACTGGAAAGAGTCAAACTCCTGTTCATTTTAATTGTTCCAGGTCATACGCGGAAATAGCGTAATAATGTTAGAGGCTCTTGATAGGATATGACGACTGCAATTTATATTCATGATCCGGTAGCTGAACTTTCTTTTTACGTGAAGTATGATCAATATACTTATTCCACGTGTGATTGCTTAGTGTAATGCTATTCGTATTTCAAAAAGGATTATTTTAAATAAACAAGTTTTATATTAAAATGTTGTGCACTTTGATTACAGCAGTTTTTACCTACCTCGTTTCGTTCGTCTGTTGATAATGACACATGAGGCGGATGCACGGAATAAAGAATTTATTGTAACGTTATTATGCATTAGGAAATGTACAAGTTACAAGACAACGTTTAAGTAGTTACGATAGCGTAAATTCTTGGCCCTTTAACACGCAGAATGTAACTTATCTTTGGTATACTGAACGTAAAATGCGTCGATGTCTGTTAACTATCGTAGGCTGTGAACAATTTCGTTCGGAAACGAATGGTGCCTCTAAAAATAATTAGACTACGGGTTTTACGAAATGCGTGCAATCACGCAAAGATAGACGAAATCTCTGACACAAATCAGATGCCGCAATGTTTGAAGGGCGAAACGAAAGTGTGTTCGTAAAAATCGGCAGCCTAACAATAATAATCTTATCGTTCTCAAAATCTTGTCGAGATCTCGTTCGTTTCTCTTGGATGGCAAAACGTGATACGTGCACACGTTCTCTGATCTGAAAATTCGGACATTCGTTTAAAAATACTTATTTTTTTGTTTACAACTCGTAATTATTACACCAGTAACAGTCTGTCTCGCTAGATCCTTAACACGGGCGAAGGAGGATCGTTGTTCCAATCCCGACGCGTCGCGATTTGCCATTCGATCAGAGATTTTTGCGTGTCGTACAAAATGCCTGATTGTCCTTACGTCGAAGCCATACACACGACGTTATTGCGTGAAACAGTATATAATAAAAGCGGCTAGACGGCAAACGATATGCGGACAGCGGATAGGTAATCGTAAAAGAGCTTTATTGAACATATAAGCTGCGGTCTTCGAAATGTTCGAACGCGTCGAGAGACGCCTGTACATAGGAACTGTGTAAATTAAAACCGGCGAGCAATCTTAAAGTACGCGAGAAACGATAAATGCACGAACACGTTACAACTGTGCCGTTCAATAAAACCTTTTTCTCTTTACAAGCCCGAATTTCACACGCTCGACGAAGACACCTGTTCAACAAGCTAAATGCCGAAGTCGCGTTTTTTCAATTTGATGACTTAGCGAGCACGAAGGTACATTGTACAAAATTCAACTTACATCTACTTACGTTATAAACATATTTACATCGATCAGTCAAATAAATATTTCTCTTAGGTAGTCTTTACGTGTCTAACGATACTAATGCTTTTTAGCGATCGAACGTCCAGGCTCGAAATTCGTGTCTCCGTTCACGATGCATACGTAAAGAACCGTGCGAAAGTAAAAGGTCGAACGAAACGTCTCTAACGTTGTACTCTAGCGTTTTTTCTTATCGTAGAAGAAATTCTGTTCTCGTTTTCGAATACAGCGTACGACTCTAGCAAACACTACTGATCAAGCTGACTATACAATTTTTAATTCAACTCGTTGGGATCTTAAAGGTACGATCGAAATTTCAGACTTTAGTCTTTGGAACGTGCTATCGGTATGCTTTTATTCTTATTGCTTGGATATGGTTTTCCCTTTCGAAATTAATTCTTCCTCTTTTGAAAATTGAATCGCGTCGCCGAGTCTCGATACATATATAAAATGATAGATTTGGTCGCGTCTATAATCTGCTACTTATAATAAATGTACGATGTTTCTGTATTTACCTTTCGTTACACGTATATCACAGAGTTCAAGAATTCTTGTTATTTTCGTTCACGCGTTCCACTTCGCTGGGTGAGGCGAAATTTTTGAAAATAAATTGTTACGCATTCTGTCGTCTCGTTTAAAAAATGTTCTCAAAGTAAATATTCTGACGATCGTTACTGTTTTTGCGCGTACGTACGCTCGAACGTTTCTTTTTTTTTTTCGTTTTTTCCTTTTACGGCGTAAGTATTTCGAAGACGTACGAGCAACCTCTACAAAAAATATTAGAATTTTTAAGTAACTACTATTTACAACAGTAATATTTCGTTGCCGCGAGTCCCGCGGCCGATACAACCTGACTCCCGCACGACATTCTGAATAATACGAGTTCATCCTCTAGATCAATCAGTTTTCCATCGCTCGGTTCCCCGAACGAACGTTGATCATTGTACTATAACGACTTCCCGTCTCTGCAGCCTGATATTTAAATAAAATAATATCTCTCGTACGTTCGCGTGTCACCGTTCGATAGACTAGAATATTTTCAACTACGATTCCTGCACCGTTCTCTTACTTCTTAAGACCCGTCGTCGTCGCCGCTTCGTTCGCTTTGCCCCCGACTGTCTTTTTATGCACGCTCGGTACCGTCCTTGTCGCGTTAACATTCCTATTCGCTTCGAATTTTTGTTGTAAAGAAGCCACGTTCGATTTGCCGCTCGCTGCACGTTGCACTGTGTTCGTCTTCGCTGGTTCCGCGCTCTTCGTCTCCGTCTTCTGGCCAAGCTTCGGCTGCGAGCTCTTCGGAGTCGTCTCCTTGGCCGACAACGATTTGGTCACGCTCGCGTTACCGGTAGGAGACTTTTTCTTCTCCGCGATTATCTTGGACGCGATGCTCAACGGCTTGGTCGGCGTCGTGGGAGACGACCTCGTCACGCTGGTACGCGTTATTGTGGCCGTCTTCTGGACGTTCTTCGGTTGGAAGCCAACCTTCGGATTGCCCACAACGTCCGGTGACTTTGTACTGATTTGATTCGCGTTCGAGCAGCTCGACACCAGGTCCGGGCTGTTGAACTTTCCCCCGTTATCCTTAGTATTACAAGGCACAGTTTTCAGGGATAATCTATTAACATTCGTATCCTGCTCATCTTGACCATTTCCATTGTCGCTGGAACTCTGCCGGTCTAACGAATTCTGCCTGGAACCCTTCAGATTGTTCTCAGAATTCTGTTTAGACTTGGACGCGTCCGAAGTTTGTCTGCTCTTCGTTATATTCGGCGGCGTTTTCGTCCTTCCAAGCGGGGGCTTCAACGGCTCCTTACTTTCCTTCTCCTCGGTCTTGACAATCGGCCGATTCTTCGCGGGTGCCACTGGTTTACGAGTCGCGATGCTTTCCGAAGGTTTCATGCCCAGCTCTTTCGATATCTCGTCGTTTACGTTCGGATTAGTCGAACTAAGAGTCAACGGTTTACTTTTGTTGAACGGTTTCGCGTCAGGCTTGTCAGGTTCTTGCTGCGGCACGTTCAGCGCCGATGGATTCAGATATCCCGAGCTCGTAGTAGAACTGGACGAGTTAAACTTCCCGGACGCGGAATTGGAATAAATACTATCCGGAGACTTGTAGTGTGCAGAGTTCACATAGGCGCCCATCGAACTGCCCGAACTCAAATACTCGGCGTTCTTCGCCGCCTCCTCGTTCTTCTGCGGCTTTCTGAACAGGGTCGACGTTGAATAGATAGAATCGAAGTTCCTATTTGATATCTCTGACACGATTTCGGACAGCAGGCCCATTGAATCCAGGCCACCGGGATTCGGCGGCGCCTCGACTCGTTTCGGCAACTTGTATTCGTTGTCGATTCGTTTCTCTGGTTCCGCGTTCTTTTTTTTTTCGGGGAGCGTCTCTTCTATCACTGCGTAGATATTGTCGTTCGTAGGCGACTCTTCAGTTATCTTAGACAACGATGATTCAGAGACTAAGTTCATGCAATCGTCGTAAGTGTTCTCCACGAGTTTCGCCGCGCTCTTCACTTGTGGATTTTGGTATCCCGGTAATCCAGGGATCTTCACCGTTTCGTTGATCATCGTTGCGGAAGTGGGTGGCTCCGGCGGAGGCGCGGTGGGCCTCGTGCTCGCTGGAATACTCGTAGGCCTCTTGACAGACGACGTTTGTCGCATCGAGCCGAAAGTCTGTACGGCTGGTCTCGGGGTGATCTTGCTGTCTCTCATCGACTGCGCGCGTAGGACCACGTTCTTCCTCTCCGTGTCCACTACAGGGACGACGGGAATCGCCGGCGTGGGAATCTCGATCTCCTTCTGCGGTATGGGATTCGAGATCTCTAGGTTCCTCAAGATCTCCTTGTCTATCACTTTGTTCGCTTTGAGATGGTGCGTCCTCGGCAACGAGTTCGTGTTCGTCTTGTCGTCCTTATGCGAGATCTGTAGGCCTCCCTTCATAATTCCGGAGTTGGGTCTCAACATCGAGGCGATTCTGTTCAATGTATTGCCTTTGTCCGGTTTCCTCTCGGGTTCCGGGAGCAGCACGTTGGTCAGAGGCGTGCTGTTCGGTCTCGGCTGCTTTTGAACGTCCGAGATCGGTGGAGCCGGCGCGGGTCTGGTCGGTCCGTCGATCACAGGTTTGACTTTCGGAGCCACCAGCTCTACTGAGGTGCACGTGGTCGCGGCTAACACGGGACTACTGATCAGTGGGCGAGACGTGCACCCCGGGTTTAGCGGCGGAAGCGTCGGAGGCGCGTCGATTTCGTTGAAGCTCGAGCCGGAACCGAGCAACGAGCTTCGCGACGGGTTGCTCTTCGGTATCGGCTTGATGTTAGTCTTAATGGCTACGGTGGGGATCGTGGGCGGAGGAGGCGCCGGTTTGCTCGGCTCGGGGCTCTTCGCCTTGATCGGCGTGATCGTGAAACCTTTGAACTGGCCGAACAAATTATTGTTGTAACGCTCGTCGGTGTCCGGCTTCGGCAATAGACTCGCGCACGCCGGATCCTGACTGAGGCTAGAATCGATCGTTTCGATGTTACGAGGCAAGGGACTGGAACGATCGATCGTTTTGATGGACAGTCCGTTGTGGCCGCGATCGCTCCTGAAAATTGTAAGCACAGTCTCATAAGCCTGGGAAGGAGTCGAGGTGTTTGAAGCAAGTGTGGTCCGATAGTCTCGCGAGTCACAAATCGTTCATGCAGGTGCGTAAAGAAAAATAGGTTCTCGCAGTCGTTCATCGACGGCACGCGGTAATCTATCGACCACGAGAAGCATGCAAGACCGATGAAACTTGCTGGGGAATTAGTCAAAGATTAAAGTGTTAGTAGCAAGCTGTTTGGAGGGAGGTAGATTTATGTTCACATAAGAAACCGTGTACAATTGTATTTGTATGTAATGCTACTTTTATTGTTTCAATGTACTTATACAATTAAGTAGGAGCAATTCAAATGACTCGACCGATTGCTCGTTTAAAAAAATTTCGTAAAGAGTATTGAATAATTTTAATACTGAATCATCGACTCGAACGTTCAAGCGATACGTTCAGCACTTAATTCTTATCAAATGCAAAAGCAATCGAAAAAAGAAACTCGTACATGCTCATGCTCGTGTCACATCAACATCTATGCATGCTCTCTCTCTCTCTATATATATATATATATATACATATACCCCACGGTTCTCTCTCCCGAAACGTGAACTCGTTAAATTAGACTGACTACGAGAATCGAATTCTCATCCACTTTTCTACTTTGTTATCAAACTATTTTGTTCTATCACGTGATACAACGCGTTGAGTGTCATCGATGACCAGTTCGAACTTTAGTGATTATAAATTGTCTTTATTGAAATGCAACGTTGTGGCTTTAACGTCTCTCTGATCGTTTAGGAAAGGTAATCGAAATCGGCTCAGCGCTTACGTATCACGTCAAACGTGTATCTATCATCACTTGAGCATGATATAACGATAAACGAATAAATAAATCACTTATACATTTACGACATAGACATTTATAGTAGAACATTTGTAAAAGTAAGCTATACAAATATAAATTCTTTAAAAACGTGCACTGCACGCGGTGCCCGGAGACTCTTTCCTCGTAAAAAGAAGGCCCGCGTCGGAGTATTTCACTGTTACCTTGTCTATTATCATAGTTTAAAAATCACAGCGTATATATTATCGTTTTGGCAATGATAAGTATATTAAATTGCATTGACCACCACCGTTATCGCCAACCCTTTAAGTACGACGTAATGCGAAGATCGTAGCTGCGAACGCTACGACGTCCGCACTAAAAATAATAATCGAGACTGACGTGAAAGTAAGCGCTGTGAGAGAAAACTAGTAGCGAAAGAATTAGACCTTTGGCTTTAAACTTTGGGCCGGAGCCGGTGGAGGTGGTGGCTTTTTGTTATAAAACGGAGCGGGTTGCTTCGAGCAGTACGGTCTCTCGCCGGGGTCGCCCGTTTTTGGCGTGATGCCAGTACTGCCGCTCGGGCTCTCGTTCAGATGCTCGAACTTCACTTCCGTTTTAAGCGTGAGCCCTTTAATATTTTTCGTCGGCTTTTTCTGCATCTGCTGTAAACGCTCGGCGATTTTCGAGCCTAGCTCCGATCTCAAGGAGTTTTTCCTCTGAGATTCGCCCGACGGAATAACGGCGGTCCGATCGGACTCAGAGGCCTCGGACTTCCCATCGTTATCGCTCCGTTCCGGTAATTGATTGTTAAGCAACATCGATTTCTGATAACCGATATTGTTGCTGCAGTTAATCGCGTCCGGGTTAGTGGTCGATATCAGATTCGTTTTAGTTATCTGTAGTTTCTCTTTCAGCGGGAGGCTGTCGCTGATGGTGAACACCCTGTCCGCGTTACGCGAGGCCTCCTGACGAGGCGAGAAGAGGATGACTACCTTCTCGTAGAAATTTTGACCGAGAGCGCGACCCGTGTTCGGTTTGCGAGCACCGCGCGACGCGAAAGCATGCGGTTTGCGTTTCTCTGTAGCACGCTCGAGATTGGATACGTACGTTGACATCATGCCCTTTTTCCAATGCTGCCCGGAGTTTCTCATATACCAGACGCCGAACGACGACAGCGCGATCATCGGCACGATCCCCAGGAAGATGATGTACAGGGCCATTATGAAGTCGTTCCTCGCTGTGGCAAACGTGAAACACAGATTAGTCGACGACGTCAAGCCACGACGGGAACGCAGTATACCTACCGTTCGGATCCTCCGCGGGGCCGCTGTCCTCGGAGCCACCCACGCCAGGTAGAGTGCAGTCGGGTGGCCGGAACCCGCGATTACAGTGACAATGCCCTAGACTGTTGCACACCCCGTTGCCTCCGCAATCGTTCGGACACGCTCTGCCCCCGGACACGGAAGCGCGCAGGTCGGCCACTGGCATGCACTTCTGGTTCACGCACATCTAAACCGAACAACAAGCGATGACATTCGTCAAACTCGTCTAATGAATCCGTGAGCAATTGAGCTTCGCGTTGCCGAAATGAAGTCTCACCTTTCCGGGAGCGCACTTGGCGCCATCGGGTGCGAGGCCGGGATCCACTTCGTTCAATCCTAAATCCACGATAGCAGACCGACACGGTATGATCTTGCCTCCGTTATTGATGAACGAGTGGCTCAGGATCGACACGGACTCCATGCCAAATTCTAATCTCTCGTTCTGATGTCTGCAGTGCAGCATGCCGCAGAGAAGGTTTCTAAAACGATCACGACGCACTCGTATACTCCGCCGGTTTCTTCCTCAGGTTCGAGAACAAAGAGAGAGAGAGAGAGAGAGAGAGAGAGAGAGAGAGAATCGTTGACTTACTCGTCGGTGCACTTGAAGTAACTATCGGCCACTCGATTGAAACCACAGTTGCCCTGCTTGGTTCCCTTGTTGTTCATCTCGTAACAAGGCGTGTCGGACGAGGTACCCGTGGGACCCCAAAGCAGCTTGCATTGATCGTTGTGAGTCCTGCACGAGCCTTGATAACAAAACGCTTTACCCATGTTGCACGACTCGCCGTCCATCTTGAACACGTCCACCGGACAGTATTCGCTTTGGCCGGTGCAGTACTCGGGCAAGTCGCACTCGTGGTCGGCACTTCTGCACTCGGTCCCAGCCGTCTTCGGTCGGCAGGTTTTTAGATCGCAACACGCGCCGGTAGCGCAACTCGCGTTACTGTGTAGCATGCAGGTGGTCACGTTGCAGCAGGGGTTGTCGCAATGCTCCTTCAACCCGCAATCGCACTGCTCCCCGGGCTCCACGAATCCGTTACCGCAGATTGGGCTGTCGAACAGCTTCTGCGGTTTGTTCCTTAAACAATAGTCCATTCCGTGCTCGAAGGCGAGAGCCAGGTGCTCCAGCGAGCAGGTCGACCAATGAGTCGGTCCAGACGAACCGCTCGAGGATGACATGATGCATCTGCAACCGCGATTATAATCGTCCTTCCTTTCATATAAATGATACACACGAGAGCAAGAACAGAAGAATTGTAAAAGTTATTTATCGAAAGACCTAGAATTCGGCCAATCATCGGAAACTCGTATGTTACGTGATACGATTCGAGATGGATTTCAATCAGAAATGGAAGTATCATGTTCTGGTGTACGAAAGTTGAACTCACTTCTCTTCGGGACACTCGCAATCGGCGGAGTCGTGCTCCATGCCGAAATTGTGGCCCATTTCGTGAGCCACGGTGGCAGCCACTAATCCCACCACGTTCGAGTGATCCATCGAGACTCCACCGGAGAACTCCCACGTACATATTGGTCCCTTGAGCGCCTTTCCCACCACGCCACCGTCGAAGGTGATCCGTCTGCAAATTCCGAAAACGATTGTCGCATCGCGTATTCCCTCGCGCGAGACTTCGTAATAGTACGAACAATTGCATAAATGGAAATTCATGATTCATTCTACGATTCATCGTACGACTTGTTACTCGTCGTACAAGTTTTTACAAGATGCTTTTTTACATGCTACTATTTTATGTAACACGAAATCTTTCAACCTCTGAATAGTCGTCAGATTTATTGATATTTGTTCAAAGACTTACGTCAACAACTGAGCGTTATCGTTGGGCATGTCCTGGACTAGTTTATCCTTCCTGTACCGTAGGAAATTCGAGAGGGTGGTGTCCCCGTTGGTCGACAACGTTATTTCATCCGTATCCGACCAAACTTGCACGCCGACCAGCGCGACGAATATATTCAGAGGCATGTACAACTGAAACGAGATGAAATTTTCTCTCTTTCCAATTCGGTACTACTCGACACCGCGAGGGTTCAGAAGTTATACTAACTGCGTTGATGATATTCGCGATATCCTTGCAGTGTTGATAAACCTTGTCTAGGTTCTCGTCGAGCGCGATATACTCCTTTTTATCGATCACGAAGACCAGCTCCACGTACCGGGATTGCCTGTTTGCGTTGTACGGTCCACGGACGACCTCGGCCGCCCTTTTGTGCTACAAGACGATACCAAAGGAATCTAATAAGGAATCGCGATCAAAGACATCTCACATTCGTTCTTTTGTATCTCCAAGTATAGCTTTCATTGTACGAAAAATTGGTCGATACAAATCGCAATCGTTTGATCAAACACGTTTTATACAGTCAATTTGTATGAAAAAATATTTCTTTACAGGGAAAAATGTCCCTGAAAGAAAAATAAATCTCAAAGCTAAAAAAAAACGGCGGTGATCGTAAAAGGGAAAATCGTACCCTGGTGGCTCTGTTGCCGCGGTGCCCGTACCCGTGAACATGGTGCGGCGTTCCTTCGTAACCTGTGAACAAAAAACCAAGATCATCGGTCTCGGTCGCGGTCCCGGGATTCTCGGTAAAGTTACACACGGGAGAGGAGCCGGTAAAATGTTGCTCCCACATTCGTTAAGACCGTTAAGGAGAGACCAGTCCCCCGGCACGGACAGGTCTTCCAATCTGGGAAACGGTTCGCGACGAGTTTCGCGAGGATCCATTTGTACCAGAGTCGCGCGTTGCCTTGTTTGTAATTGCAATAAATACATAGCGAATTTATAAACGCGCAAGTAAAAATGACCAAGCAATCGTGTCACGTTTAATATCTGTATTCGTTTAACGTAACGTAACATTACGCGTCCATATCATCTGGCTTAAACTACATGCTATCGTCAAACGGCAAATCGTCTCAATTTCGAGGAGAATTGGATGTATCACGTCACGGATATATCACGGAAATAGAACTCGATCCGGTCCTGGGATTTTCTATCTAGGAAGAGATGCTGGAGACAATTACGGATGCGGTTTCCGGCGAAATTCGGGATAGAGAACAGTGTGGCAGTGACATTTATACTTGGGTGAATGAAGCAGAAAACGGTCGAGGATAGTTACCGCAAGTGTGATTGGCGACGAGATCTGCGTGCTCGTAGACGTAATGATCCGAGTCCAGAGTCTCCCCTCCCGGGTGGATGTGGTGGAGGTTCTCTCCGTCGAAAACAACCCCGCGCAATCCTTTGCAAGTGGACACCGCCACCCAGGACCCAGGAACGTCTCGAACGCTGCCTTGATAATGGCAGAGCTCCTGCGAGTTTCAATCGGATATTTTCAAACTTGTAAACGAGGATCTGTGCGGCTCGATGAGAAAGTCTGATCCTTTTTTACGAAGTAAATTTCTTTGGAAATCGTTACTTTATATTTAATCATTTGCCGCGGTTCGATTTCGTTATATTCTTAAAGAGGCTTGAGAACAAGTTTCCCTCGGCTTATCCCGAATCCTCGAATCCGCGACGCGGTTCACCCGTGCGTCCGACCGGTACAAATATAGTTGGCCCAGATTCCCATTGGGCCAGCCATTTTTTCTGTTCCTCTTTCACCTTCCTCTCGGTAGAGTAAGGACTCGCAACGAATTGCTGTCAACCCCACGAAATCCGATTTAGCGCACGATTTATTTCACATTTACGTAACCTATTCCTTCGGAAAAGAGCTTTCGGCTTTTTCATTCACAGAATACGGAGAGTTTTCTTCTATCGCGTGGGACGAACCAGCGTAATTAGTGTAGCGCGAAACCTCTGAACAGTGCTCTAACTAGTTAGATTCGCGGAATTTGCCCGTTTAAGCGACCGAAATTAGCTCGTCCGTTTGGCCGCGACTGCGAGAGCAAATAATCAACGAGGGAAGAGAACGAGAACGGCGACTGGACGTGCCAATTCATTTATTCAATTGCGTAAAATGTGGAACCGACGACGACGACGACGACGACGACGACGACGATGAACGTGAAGCGCAACGAACTCGCTCGATGAAACACGTCCGACCAATCCGATGCTCTATGTCTGCCCATTAACCGTAAATAACGGATGCGCGCAAAAAATTTACATGTACCGATGCTGGAATCGCTAAAACAAAAAACGCTCGTTTCTCTTTATTCTGTTTTTACGTAGGGGTGGCTATTATGTTCTTCGCGTGATTCACGGTCCGCCTGGAACTCGTACGAGAGCCAATAGAAAATTTATTTTCACCCTTTGAACCAAAGATTTTCCCAAAAACTTTTACAACAGAGCATGACATAAGGTGTGTTCTTCCGCCGTGTTCAAATGTGTCGCTGTTTGCACCCTTCCACTCATCGGCCATATTGGAAGTACAATGACCTATTGTTTATTTCAAACACGCATATATATTACACTCCGAGTAGCTAATTTTTGACATGTTTACGATTTTAAAATTCGCTCTGTTTTAATATGAAGCGTGATTGGTTAGAAATCCAAAATGGCCAACGAGTGCAAGTGTCCGTGTACAGATGGATGTTCAAATGGATGCGCAAGAACACACCTTATGTTTTTAAACAATGCAACAGAGAGTCACCTATTCAAATAAATCAGTTCTATCTCTCCATGCTCTATGTTCGATGCTTGACCCGTTCACAACGTGTAAGACGATCGCAAAGTAATCATTGTAAAATGCTGATGGAAGGAACATTGTTTAGTACATGGGAGTGGTTGTATAAAGAGGAAGCGTTACTCAGTTCTCGTTTATTTAAAAAGTGATCAATACTCTCGAAACGTTCGTCTGCACGGTCAGACGGTGAGTCACTACAATCGATTCACTTGTGTATCTACGTTTTTTAGCTAATTCCGCATTTTCCAGAAATTCGAGTTTTACAAACGTAAAGGAAGATGTTTGTATGTTGATGAACTCAGTATGTCCTTCATAAAATAACGTAAGCTTGACGACGACGTTACGTATAAGCACGACACGCGTCATTTTTTGAAAATATGTAAATGAAAATGACTTACGACTTTGGACGGAGTGTGCACTTTGTACGTGCCCTGATGCTGATGACGCTGCTGGTAGCCGACCGGAATCAGATCCGTGTTCAACCTGAGATCCAACACTCGTTTTTGCCCGTCCAGCTCGAAGGCCACCGTCAGCACATCCGCGTGGTCCAAATCCTGAAAAAAGAAGCGTAAGGTCCAGCTGTGAGAATATCTTTTGCTGACTTTGTGCTAACGCGGCAGTAGAATCATTTAGGAGCTCGAGATCATACACCTGTTGCACTGTTCAAGATAAAACAAGAAAAGAAGTCGAATCTGCGAGGCAGGCAGGCAGGCAGGCTCTCCCAATTGTTCCCAATCAATAGTTCCGACGCCAACGGTTTAGCCGGAAAGTAATGAAACGAGACTTCCTTTACGTCGCTCAATCACAGCGTAGCCAGATCTCAATTGATAAAATCGGTCATAATTAAATTATGAGTAATCTTGAATGAATCATAGATAAAATATTATGCCAACTTCGATTGCCACAACAGCTTTACACACGCTCGTAATGAGAGACTCGTTTTTCTAATCCACGATGAAAACGAAATCAATGAGCGAAATTTCTGTGCATAAAGTCGTCGGAGGCAAATCCACCTGGTCGTACAAACTAACTTGTTGTTGCCGGTTGTCGCACGACCAAGGGTTAAACAGGGGAAACCCTGCAGCTTTCGCGTCGGAGTTGGAAACAATGGGTCGGGGGCGGGAATACTTTGGAAAAACGAGCGCGCGCGAGACCTTTCGTGTCCCCGGCTCGTTTCCAGCAGAACGCAATCAAGGCTGACGTCGAGACGGGTGAAGCGCGTGACAATAGTTGGCTGCCCGCACGAAAGTCTTTAAGACTCCCTTCACACTAGCCAGATTTCGCTTCTACCGCAGGACACGAGATCTACGATAAAAATTAATACTGGTAAATATCTGACGATGAGAAAATCCGTTGAGTAAAAGAGAAAACGATCGCAATTGGATTTTGATAACTGATTTGACGTTTGATACGGTCTGACCGTACCGTATCCGAATCGAGCCTGAGGGGACTTTTATTTTTCTCTCCCCCAATGATACCGCCGCTAACCGAATTTGAGGGGAAACTCGACTCGAAAACCGGTCGATCGATCGATCGATCGAACATTCCCTGCTGGTCGCAATTGCTGCCCGAGGTTTCGGTGTTATCGGAAAAGTTGGAGGAATTGTTTAAACAACCGGAACCGCGTGAAACAACAGTTCCATCGGTAGAATTCCAATCGCTATTGTTTGACTTCTTTTAATGGTCGAAGAAAAAAGAAAAACAAAAAAAAAATAGCAGTGACTCAGTTTGTCGATGTTCACACGCGACGGGTCCACGGCGACTGGAATATCGAGGAACGCTTCCTGAATTGGCTGCGGGCCAGGTATGGATCGCTAACTGTCGGACGAGGACGATGATAGAATCCGCGCCGAGAGAATTCCGCGGATCCATCTATCGCCGATCCAACCTGGATCCTCCGGTCGTGCTCGGAATCTATGAAACGTATGACCCGGGAGACGTTTCCCATCGAGCCCACGACGAATCGGAATTATTTGCCCTACCGTTGCTTTCCAAGGAAGTTATGGCGAAAATGCTATGCAGAATTTCCCGATTCCTTAAAACACAAGCATCGTTTAACTTGGAAGAATATTTTATATTTTATATATGTATTTCCAGAGATGCACGACATCGCTCGATCAATAAATGGTACGCAATGTGACAGTTCAATTAACGAGGTTCGAGGAACTGGAATTTGGAAACTTCCCACCGGATAGGTTCTGGGATATTTCCTGGCAGGGGACGCATCCCCTATGAATTAAACATGGGACGGCGGGCCGAAGGAGGGCGCGAACGGGACCCGTAAATTCATTTGTGGGGCGGCACGCGTCGACGAAAAACTGAACGAGTCGTCGAGTCGAGTCGAGTGGGCTTCGAGACCCCTGAACGATGGGGAGAATATAAATTGTTTAAACGGTCGACTTTCTAGCAAAAACGATCGAATCCTCGTGGCCAGCTAGAAAGCGGAACGAATTCTATAGCAGCTCTTTAAGCTTGATTCATACCAGATCAGCATTTTAATGACGTCGTGCAGAATCAATTTAAAATTGCTGTACAACACTTATTAAAATACTTATTACGAACGCTTCGAATGCGATTCATTGAAAGTTATTACACAGGATCAAAAAAAAAACGTATAATCTTTATTTAAGAGAGAGCCGTCTCGCTACGTGAAATCGCCGAAGAGAAAAGCTTGAACCAGCCACAGCTTGCGTGAAACGTGAAGTATGGGGGATGATTAAAAGGACCGCATTTTGTGCAGCTTATCGCAATAACGGCACCTGGTGGCACGAATGCGTCGCGTTAATTTCGAAATAAACACCTGGCCGTGAATGGTCGGCAATTACCGCGGCCAATCCTGTCTGCGGTGTTCCGGGTTCGGTTAAACGCGGACTGGGTTTCGGATCGAGGATTAACGTTAACGAAAATAACTGGGACGCGAATCGGCGGTGGTCGCTAATTGTTACGGTGATAAACCGCGCCAGGGGTTAGACGATAATTACGCGAACCGTCGGGTTTCTTGGAAACCCGTGCGCTTAACGAGAGGAGCACAATGTACGTAACGCGACAGTGGGGCTCTTTGTGACCGCGTCCAGAATGAAAGGAATCTTTTGATCTACCGCGTTTTAGAAATAAACCGTTTCCGCGTCCTACGTCGCCTAGAAGCAAACACCAAAACCATAATTAAAGTTATCATAACGATGCTCGACCGTTTCTAAATTAACGACGCATCGAATAGGATTACCTCGGTACACCAATACCTCAGTTTGCGTCGTGGTTACGTTCCAAAAAAACACGACGCAAATTGAAACGACGCAAAGTGAATTAAAATTTTCTATAGGAAACCATGTAAAGATCGAAGATAGGTTCCAGGGTTACGAAAATACTACTTTTTAAAAAGAAAATTGAACAAAGTAGATACATTACAACACACTACGTAATTGAAACTGAACTCTAAAATTAGCGAAACAAAGTGAAAATAAAACTGTATTAAAATTGCGTTGATTTTTAGTTAGAAAGGGAATCCCCGTGTTTTGATGGCATGGCACAATTAGAAAC